TAGAATTCCTCTTGTTTAAATGAGATTCTTTAATGATATATTACAAGAAAATTTTTAATATAATGCAAGATTAACTTAAAAACATTTTAGAACATAAAATTATTTACTCACCTTAAACTTTTCATCGATCGTAGCTCGGCTAGATTCAAACTCGGGAGAGTCCAAGAACTCACATGGAAGTATGGGATGTAGGAACTGATGACCGCTCATAACGTTTACCTAGACAAAAAAACATTTATTTGCAAACGGCAATAATGAAGAAGCAATTAAGACCACGCCAAACATCAGTGACGTATTTTGTGAAAATCGATTAATACTAGAATCTTGCTAATCTTATAATGTTGTAGCTAACAAAATTAGACCACTAAACGTTCTTTGTTCAAAATATTCCCTACTCCACGTGTAAAGTTAGGTTGATTAAAGAAACGTCTGTGTTGGGTTTAACAACGGCTTTCGCAACCAACAACACATTTGTAAGAGGAGATTTGGGTGTATTATCCGGGCCCGGGGTGCGAACCTACAAATAGGCACTCTGCTAACTTCAAAAGGAAAAGTACCTACGTGAAAACGAAACAACTGTTTTGCTTTACGCATTCACTCTAGTACTGGATAAAAATATGATGGATATCATTCAATGAAACCAATAAATGATTTTTTCGAAGTATGTATTTACATGTCTAACTGAGATAAACTGAGCAATTAATAATGACATGTGTTGATTTAATTTATGGAATAGGAGGCAAACGAGCAGACGAATCACCTGATGGTATGCGATCAGCACCGCCCATTTACACCCGTAACACCAAAGGAGTCACAGGTGCGTTGCCGGCCTTTTTAACTCGTCGAGTACCGGTTTTATAGACACAATTAAAGAACAATAGGTCGCGGTCACCGGTGACCGCTTGGTGTTTGACAGTTTAAAAGGAATACGCTCTTTTCCTGAAGGTCGTGTCGGTTCAGAAATCTATTACATCTATATTTAGCTTTACCCTAAATCCTATGATTATACATATAAGCTAATGTACCTACTTAATAACGTCTAGCCTTTGTAGTAATTCGTCTAATGACAAAACGTGCTCATTTTACAAACAACTCCCTAACGAGACACATCTAATACAATATTCAGTTTCAAAGCTAAACATGTACGAGATCACATTTCATTCAATCGCAGAAAGAATTTTACGATCATTTTAACATGGCAGCTTGATAAATTGGTGTATGGAGAGTGAATATCGATGTAGTTACTCCAATATTATCTGAAGACATCGTGTAGGCACGTGTCTGTCGTTAGGCCATCGAAAATTCATTCTAAAAACTGCACTAAAAATTGTTTATACTTTCAACTATACGGGTAGTGTAGCATGCTTTCATTTCAAAAGTCTACGTGGACTTCGAAGGTGAAAGCAGTTAAGTATAATTACGTTTTAAGCGCCTTCTAGAACTTAAAGTGGGAAGGTAGGATTTAATTAAAATAATAAGTTTAGTTTATGATATGTATCTATGAATACATAGCGTGTAATGCAATAACTACACGAATAAAATTCGATTTTATATAAATATTTTGATAGGAAAAGTAAAGAAGAAAGTAATAGGAGGGTTACAGTTCTGAATTAAGTGCCTTATAATTAGTGCTAGTGACTTTTTCCATTAATCTTAAGATGTGCGAGGGTCATTCCACTGTGTGTATGTTCTTCAGCGAGAAAAATAGAACGGTTTGTCACTTAAATCGTGTTGTAAAGTTCAAACGTGAGTTTAGGTATCAAATAAGATCTAATCGTGCTAATGCCTAGTTTTCGGAAGTTCTATAAGCTGATAAACTGTTAAGTAAAAGGAAAAGTCTGTAATTTCCTGAAAGCTACTAATGCGATTAAAATTTTAGTCTTAAAGGTACTATTATGCTATGCTTACAAACTATGTAGACTTTAAACAAAAAGTTTTTGTATGGCTGTTTACTTAAGTCAAGTTTCCGCAAACTATTAGCAACTAGATAAATCCAAAAAGTCTAAAGTTTAACAAATCTACCCAAAAATGTGACGTAAGAATCACCAGTACCGATCTACGCGAAAAATCCCAACCGACCGGCGACCCTCATACTACCTAATGGAAGCAGGAAAATGAGCTTTCATTCGGAAAATTCTTAATTCGGTTTCTTTAATATTTTGGGGGACCCCGAGTGCCTTATAACGATTATAAAGGTATAATGTCGAGTTTAAAAATACAGGCCTTTTTGGTTGAAAGATGACCCAATAAAACCCCGGATACCGCGTACATTCACCCTCGGTACCACAAGTGCTTAAAAAAAGGTTGGAAAGTTAGTTAAGTACTCCTTTCCTTGTTGTTACGTAACACTTATGGAGTGATCCACAAAGTGAGTTTCGAATTTCAATACAAGTACATAAGTATTCGTAAGTGCTGAGAATAAGTACTTTTACGAAAATGTTTCCGTCGCTAATGAAATTTGAAAGAACATTTGGTTTTTCTTTTGAATCTAACTTTAAAAACACAATGTAATTTGAGGAAAGCCGTAATTTTAGCATATGTGCTGAAAGTCGTTAATAGATTAATCTCTACGTTTTTCTACGGTTACAGTATGTCTATGTGCACCTCTATCTATCTTCATACCTGGATTAAAAGGTTATGTTAATCTGTGTATGATTGAGTAATGTTATGTTATTTCTTACCTTTCCAGAGAGCAACAATCCCAACCGATCTGTTTTAGTTAAGTTCTGCATTGCATATGCTTCTCCTGCATGTAAGGACATCACGTGAGCAAAGTCTGGAGACACCATGCGTTTGAACTGTAGTCTTGACACCTAGGTAGTGTGGAATGATAATATAGGTTTAGATGGGCGCTGTATTCAAAAAATACTTGTGATGTTTATGTGAGTTATTTTATTATAGCTTTTACCCGCGGCTTCGCTCGCGTCACAAAAGGATAAAAAGCCAATGTGACATATACCAATACACACAGCGCGCACAATTTGTTTTCCCTCGGGAATATCAAATTTTTCCGGGATAAAAAGTACCCTATTATTTAATCCGGACTTCTAACTATACATCTGCAAAAATTCAAAGCAATCGGTTTAGTAGTTACGGCGTTAAAGTGGAACAAACAAACAAACAAACAAACTCACTTTCCCATTTATAATATAAGTAAGGAAGTAAGGATAAGTAAGGAAGTAAGGAAGTAAGGAAGTAAGGATCTACACAGTAAAATTGTATAATGGTTTGTTTGTAAGGTCAGAGTGGTAAAGACTGTGGTCCGTGCTCGAGGACAGAGTAAAAAAGTCTCATTTCTCCTCGGTACGAACTTTAAACTTGTCTCAGAAGTAAGTTGAGTCCGTTATAACTTTGACTTGTTCTATAGTATCTAGGTCTGTTAAGGGTCCGTGAGCTACAATACTGTTGTTAATTACTGTTCTAGTTTAATCTCAGATCGAACAGTAATTTTAAACAAATGTTATTTAAACAAATATGAAAAATATCATTACCTTGAACGGCTCAAAGAGTGTATGATAGACTTCTTCTAATTCCGGGTCGAATTTAACAGGTCTCATTTCGTAAACCAAATAGACGACTTGTGCAAGATTCAGGAACACGAAGCCGAAGTTCCAGGAAAGGCATCAGGTGAACATATTACGTGCCATGCCCATATTGAATATAGCATGAAAGCTACGGGAAACGAAAGAGTATCAACAGAATTTTTTATTTTCTATTTAGTTATCTAAAAGAATTAATTAGTATTATTTATTAATTTTATGTAATTTGATGTATATTAAGTTCATAAATACGGCATTTTCCATTCTGAGACCAATACATAAAAAAATATTTTCTCTTGTCTCTTGTAGGTACCTTATTATAGAAATGTGTGGATTTAAGTAGGCATTATTATAATTTGTAATATACCTAACTTACCAAATATTAAAATCGTGTGCATCCACAATTGACCTTTTTTCGTACTAGGAGCGCAGTACGAAGCCACAAAAAGCATGTTAGATAGCTAAAATAAAATATAATGGTTAAAGATTTTGTTGTTTATGGAAGTGGAGATAAACTTGTAAATAAACCCATAAATAAGTCCATGTGAAATATATTTACTGTTTACTGACCTGAAATAGTGGATGTTGTGTCGTCCTCCAAAGTGGACACCAAGGCCAATACCAAGGTCCTGCAGGTGTTTAAAATCTTGTAATTTGTTCACATACACAACAAAAAACATTGCTAAATCCTATATTTACCTGAAGGCATTGTATAATTTACGGAGCCAAAATCATGAAAAGTTCCGTTTTCTCCAGGCCAGGTAAAATTGTATTCACCAATTTCCAAAAAATCACTCTTTTTTGCAAACACTCCGTGTGGCATTTTGATATTTTATGCTTTGCAATTCCTAATGAATATTTTTTTCGTACGATTCGCAATCGTTGTCGTATTGTCGACGGGTTCGCGCCAAATCAATAACATCCGTTTTGAGTTTTGTCAGGCAACCTAACGCCATCTGTAAAGTTATTCCAAAAACTTTTAGGACTTGATATTTTTAATTGCCATATGTAAATAATACATACCCTTGTCTGTTAGTTAAAACTACTTTTAATTCAATAAATAACCAGGTAACAAGTCAAAGCTATTGAAATAACTAAAATGTTTTAATTTCATTGATCCCATCAAAGGGTCTCATTGTTTAGGTATACTTTAGTCGAGTTTCCTCAACATTTGACATCGACACCACTGAAGATTGTTTATCGATTAAATACAGCTCTAAAACAAAGACAATTCCACATTGACATTATAAAATCTATGAATGAATCAATTTTTAATTTATCCTCTTCTCTTCTGTCATTCGTAGCAAAGTGTGATGTGAAGTGGTGCGGATAATTCAACAAAAAAAACCTTAAATAATTTGCGATGAGGTAGCACCGGTTACTCAAAAATAACTAAACAACATCTAAGTAATATGCCTTAACTCTTTTGTGTTATAAACCTTTATAATAATTTTCGCGGGAATGCCGAACATTAATAATACCTGCGCTGCCAATGGTAAGTCTTGTACACTTGATTAAATATCGTGTGACTCATAAAAAATAGAAAAATACCATGTGAAAGACATGAAATTAGGAGTCCATTAACCGGTTAATCATTATTAGTTCATTACATCATAATATCCAGTAACTACGGGTAATTAATTACTCACGTAGCAGTAGTGTGCCAGGAGAAATTCATTATTCAATTTTGCTCTTTTTTGAGAAAAGTGCCGTCAGTTAGTAGTAGACACTCGTATTTTTTATTATTTGAACTTGATGCATCCATATTGCAGTTTTATTTATTACCACGTGAACTGTGTTGTGGTGTAGAAGATTCTATGAATGTGCAAGAGTTCTCAGTGACATATCGCCTTTAACTAACCTTGGAGATGTTAGTGCATATTCTGGAAGGCAGGTGTTCATTACCATTATTTTACATCATTTCAAAGCTTACATCAACCATCATTTTCAATTTAATTTGTTTTATTCATGATTCTTGCATTATGTGGTATTTATTTCTTCTGTCACACCTATCACTATATTAGCCTTAAGACAAATAATTGCCAATTTAATATTTGTTTCACAATATTATGAAACCTTAATTATAAACATACAATGTGGTATTTTTCTTGTTGTAATAAAATACAAGATATGACACTGACAGGTGTTATTCAATATTATGGATAGTTTGTAACAGGCTATTCATTGCTTGCACTTAATAATCATTTCTATCACAAGCTCTATTTTCAATCTTTGAGGCCATCATAGACATAGTATAACATCACGGCTTTTATCCCCGAAGGGGTATGCAGGATGCACATTATGCCACTGTACAATGTAACACCCACTTTTCACTATTTATGTTATGAGTCCTATGTAATAGGGGTGAGCCTATTGCCATATACCGGGCACAATTCCAGACTCCGTGCTACTACTGAGATTTTTTATAAAACCCAGTAATACTTTGCTCTTCCCATGAATCAAATCTGAGACCCCTTACCTGGCAGTCGCACTTGCGACCACTCAGTCAACAAGGCAGCTATCATAGACTCCTGGCTTAATAAATAAGTGTCATTTGTTTTGAAGTAATTGCTTGAACTGATCGCAATCGCCTGCAGTAGTAACAATTATGGGATCTATAGAAGTATAGAGCTTGATAGTGTTAGACTGATATTTTTATCTTACCTGTTTCATTTACACAATTACTAATGTCTTTGTAACTAGAATATATTTGTAATACAAGTGTTTCTAATCATTATTTTGTAATGTAAACTAATTATTCTAGTTCATAAGAACTTCCATAACTATGCCATAATGAAAATTTTGTATTTAAGTATAAGATAAAATCATTTGCTTTTATATTACAAATATTCTATATACACAGCAATGTGGCGAATTCACCGCATTATCGTTTAATCCAAATGCTTTGCCGGGGATACTGTTGGAATAAAAACAAAAACACAATAAGTAAATGTAACACTTTAACATTTGCGTAGTAATGTGATCTATATTGTGTTTTTCTTTTTAAATGTGAGGTGATAGCACTGTGTTTGCACTGTTTTGTTTTTGCATAATGTGGGTAATAATTTTACTTGTCCTTTGTAACTTCTATGGAATGCTAACATACACATTGTTAACAAAACTATTTGCTTCATTTTACATTTGTGTTGACGTCAATATATGTGTAGGTCATCATGCTTTATAATTATGTATCTTATTTATCCATCATAATAATCACTTATGTATAACCATCACCGTTTTGTTCATCACTACATAGTATATATAACAAAGTCGCTATCTACCGTCTGTCTGTCCCTAAGTATGCTTAGATCTTTAAAAATAGGCAACGGATTTTGACGTGTTTTTTTTTTAAGGAAGGTTTATATGTTTAATACATGCATAATATAGTAGAGAAACACTGATAAATTTAGAGGTTTCTATAGTGATATCATAAATAAACACTTTTTTTTGCGCTTAATATTGCAAACGCTGGCTGAACCCCTACAAGATAGACCAAAATAATGTACTACAGTATTATCTTCACACCTTAATTGTCTAATGACAAAAAAGCTGTGAATGTTGTGTAAAGACATTCTGTAGTATATATATATTTATATAAGCATTGCACCCCTGCGAAGCCGAGGCGGGTCCCTAGTAAGGGCTAAAATGCTCCAGGTTTTAGTTCCCATGTGTTTATTGTCCTATTGTATTATTTCCTTAAGCATACATTTTAAGGAAACTGATACTGGGGTTTCCCTAGTACCTAAGTCAATGTACCTTATCAGGAAAACAAGGAATAAAAGATAATGTCATCTTTTCCTTTCAGGAAAATTTGTTACTTATCGTCACATTAAAATATGTAATTATTTCATAAAACCTGTTTCAGCTTTCCTTTTCATTTAAAAAAAATAATAATAATTAAAAAGCCAAGTTTACCTTCATATTGAATTATTGCATATATTTTTTATGTACAAGAAACACCAGGAAAGATTTTATATTACTCATTTTTATTTTATACCCAAAGAATAAAAAATAATATAGTGATGCAGTTAATTCAAGGCAGATAGATTCATAATATTTAGGTTAGGGTCTTGTTTGGAAGCAAGATTGAATGTGACTGGTGTAATGGTCACTTAACGACTAGAGTTTAAAAAGTATATAAAAAGAAATATTGAAATCACAAAAATCCTCTTGCTGATAAAACGGCAGTCGCACGTTGTACCATTCAAAACGTACGACAGTTTATTTTCTGACTTACCAAAATTCTATCTATTCTCAACAAAAATCTATGTAATCTAGGTATTTAATAACAACATCAACAAATATTTAAATCGTTTCCGTTTTATTTTACACACGTAATGTGTCATCGTAAATAATTACGCGTATTTACACAGATGTCTTTTTAATAATCCGATTATCTAATCGATAGAAAGTAATATACGGTTTTAAAATTAATCAAATCGATTATTGTGACTCAACATGATAGTACTCATCGTAAATTAGCTTTGTTGTGTAGGTATAAAGCACTTGTAATTATCCTTATGTATAAAAATAATACCTACTCGCGTAAACAAGACTTAAATAAAGACTATACGGTTGGCGTAGTGGCTGGCTGAGACACTGCTGTATATTTTGTCCCAAATTCGATAACCACACGGGACAAATCTATGTGTGACCCACAATCTTAGTAGGTAACTAGTTAGTAGAAAATTTAAAATATCATTGATAGAGATCCAGCTTTTAGAAACTTATTGTCCCCTAGCGATTTGATTAGAGATATTACTTTGGAGCTCTCACTAAACTTATACATTTTATGATTACGAATAAATGTAACAATTAACAAATCAAATGAACAAAAACAATTTTATTCTTAGATGTTGTAGCTGCAATTTGTCATGATACAAAAATATATTTGTTAAAGCACGTTTATTTCTTATCAATTTATACAGAATTTACTGGAATACCTATTAGTTTTAATCTGAACGAATTTTACGCAAATTAAAGATGTATGTAGCTTGTAGGTCCTAGACTGGTGAGTTTTTTTAAATAAGCAAATAGAGATTTTACTGTTTAAGTAGGTACTAGCAAATTGAACTTAGATACATAGAGGGCTAATAATTTAGATATGAATGTTAAATAGAATAGTTGTACCAATAATTATGAAAAGCAAACAAAGTGCCACCACCTACACCCAACAGCTATCCCCGGTAAGGTATTCAGACCTTTTCTTTTCATTGCAGACGAATACGAAGTCATTGGCGAGACGCAGTGGCAAATAATCGAGAGCAGCGGCGATGAACAAACCATCAACATTCATGGCTTCAAATATTCTAAATTACGCGCTACTTTATTACACACCGTGTGCATATTACTATGTGGCTTACCATATTTTGCATTGGCTTATTACCCGTCCTACAATCGATTCAAATACGTAAAATGCAGTCTGAAAACGGCTAAGGAAATTTGTGGTGAGTTTTGATCAAGTATTTTTATTTTGGGGCTATCTACTGAAAGGCCAATTGTCAATAATACTCTTTCATACAGCTTTAGCTATGTATGTTTATTAATCAGTACATTAATCATTGTATTTCTTTGTAGTTATCGACTCAGATGGAGGATGGACTACAGAGAAAGTGCTTGAAGTCGACCTGAACTTATCAAACCATAGAGATAACAGATTGCGTTACTTTATGTTCAAACACAACCGGTTCATTTGGCTTAACGACCAAGGAGTTTTTATTAATGTTCTTGCACTCAATGAGAAGCTTACTATCCAACTGCTGATGGAAAATATGTCTGGCATAAATAAACGGCAGCAAAATGAATTGTAAGTTAAAACATCATGTTTGACTGAAGAACTTGTATAATTTTCAGTCCAAAAAGTACAGTAATTAAAAATCCTATGTGTTTATTTCTTACAGGATCAAACTGTATGGTACAAATTCTGTAGAAGTGGAAGTAAAGAGTTACTGGACGCTGTTCGTTGAAGAAGTTTTCAATCCTTTTTATTTGTTCCAAGTTTTCTCTATCATTCTTTGGTCTTTGGATGAGTATTATCAGTATGCGACCTGCGTTTTCCTGCTATCCGTTGCTACCTGTATGCTGGCGCTATATCAAACTAAACAGGTAAATCTAGAAAAGTACCTACTAATATGGAATTTCCATCTGTAACTATGATTTAGTTACAGATGGAAATTATATATATACGTGATTGCAATTTCTATTAGGACTTAAAAATATTACGTATGCTTTGAAGTTTTCCTGGGAAAAATACAAAACAATGTTCTGTTTTACTCAGATGAGCATCAATCTCCACAAAATGGCTGGTTCGACTAGTGCATTTACTGTCACCGTGCTACGACCAACTCGTATGGGCCGGGAGGAGTGCGTAGTGAACGCTAGTCGACTGGTACCCGGCGATGTATTAGTTCTACCACCTGATGGCTGTGTGATGCCTTGCGACGCTATGCTGCTGACCGGAACCTGCATTGTCGATGAGAGTATGCTAACAGGTAAGCTGAGAAAAACCTCAAATATAACGACTAATAGTGATATATAAAAACATCCTTTATAAAGAAATTAAAACATTATTGTTACTAAACTATTGTTAGTCAAATTCTCACTGAAATCTAATCTCACTATTATTATAGAAGAATAAACTTCGAACTTACTGGGCTCCACTGTACAACAGTTAAATTAATACGATAGACATGACCTACACGTTTCAATTTAAACCGCCTGCACCAATATTGGTACACGCATTCCTTGTCCATGTTTATAAAATTGACATTTATTAAGAAATGTTATTCCTAATCAAATTGTGCGTCTATCAATCAATAGATGTAGTTTCATTTGTACATGTGTAATATAATGTTTACTTGTAGGTGCCACGTGTTTCAGTTGTGTAATAATACAACATAATAGTATGTATGTAGTACTAAACTACTATTAATATTATCGTATATGTAATTAGTTATCACATTACTTATAACATAAGCAGTTTACGCTAACGATCTATGCAGTACCTAATCTAATTGCGAATGACGTCATTTATCTTTATTGTTGGCAATATGAGCCAAAATAATAGTCATTTTCTTACAATTTCCATATGTCTCTGATTTGGTACACTTGATATTTCAAAGGGTTATTTTAAACTGACGTTTAATATCCAATCGCGACTGTCGCCGTGAAAGTAGGTCAGGATGGTTTGCTGTCATTAAAAAATTACTCTAGTCGAATGCCGAGTCAGATGTTATCGTCAAGATTTAATATTCATCAACTACTTTTGAATATTAAATCGTCTTCAAGGGTACCATTTGTATGATATCTTTATTTTAGAAACAGTGCCTATACAGATAATAAATGGAACGCTCCCGAAACGCTGACAGAAAATTGTTTTTACAATTTTAATCTTTTTACCGAATTCAAAAAAAAAGGAGGAGGTACTATGTTCGGCTGATTGTTTTTTTTTTTTGTTTTCGTGTTATTCATGCAACATCAGCCTTGAGCAGTCGATTACAATTATTATTACATAAAAGAAACATTTTCATTAGGTCCTTTGTTTTATGAAAATAATATACCATCACCTGTAGGTGTTTTTCGAGAGAATTCTGTTTATACCATGTATAGTCTCATAAAAAACGACTGAATGTCGACTGACTATAACACTGAAAATTACTATTGACCATGATATGACCATTATTCTCCTGTGTAGGTAATTGTTATTTATAAAGAGTGTGTTAGATTTTAGTTTATCATTAATGTTTTATCCTTTGATTTTAGGCGAAAGTGTGCCAGTAATGAAAGGTCCTCCTTGCTCGTCATCAGAAATATATTCTACTGAAGGGCACAAACGTCACACATTATTTGCTGGCACTCATGTTATGCAAACTCGATTCTATGGCAACAATCAGGTACGAACTTAAATAATAATATTAATTCAACTATACATTTCTGTGTAATATAATTTAATTTTAAGATTATATTTTGTATGTGTCTTTTTTCTAGGTTCTGGCCAAAGTCGTACGCACCGGTTTTTACACAGCTAAAGGAGAGTTGCTAAAAAGTATTTTGTTCCCAAAACCCTTTGGATTCCAGTTCTACAAAGATGCCGTCAAGTTTGTCATATTCATGTTCTGCATTGCCGCGATTGGAATGGGATACTCTATCTGGCTGTATGTTGTTAGAGGAGTAAGTAGAAATAAATATGTTTTGTAAAAGTTATTTTTTGTGTTTCGTTTGCGCTAAACGCTGCGTACGTCACTATTGTTTGCGCATGTTAGATAGAACCTACACTACCAAGTTGTATGTGCAAAGTTTGCTCAAACGACATTTGTCTTAACATATTTAACTACATTTACGTTTATTTTTACAAGGAAAAATACTATTTGTATAAGTTAGTTGACATTCATAGGCCTTAAATTTGGTTTTGTCCTCTAAATTAAGTACTTATGTTATTCATCAGCATTTAGGCATCTCAAATAGGTTGCGGGGTAAGCGCAATGGCATACTGTTATTGTCAGTACGAGTCTTGACATGTCCTCTCATCTTTGGTGGGAGGAACATATCAAATAATTTTTCCCCCAAAACAAAATAGCACATCACTAAGCTAGATCTTCAGGTCCAATTAATTACTAATAAAATTTTATTTCTTGCAGAGTTTGATAGGCACAATAGTTCTCCGCACTCTGGACATCATCACGATCGTAGTACCGCCCGCGTTACCGGCCGCCATGACAGCTGGCATAGTATACAGTCAAAATCGGCTCCGTAAAAACAGAATCTTCTGCGTATCACCTCCCAGGATTGTAATTTGTGGCAAATTACAAGTTATGTGTTTTGATAAGGTATGTATTGTATTATTTATGATTATGCAAGTGCGACTGCCGGGCAAGGGGTCTCGGGTTCGATTCCCGGGTCGGGCAAAGTATTACTGGGTTTTTCTCAGTGGTAGCACGGAGTCTGGAACTGTGCCCGGTATATGGCAATAGGCTCACCCCCTATTACATGGAACTCGTAACATAAACAGTGAAAAGTGGTTGTTACATTACAGTGCCGTAATGTGCACCTCTGCCTACCCTTTCGTGGATAAAAGGCGTGATGTTATGTATGTATGTATGTATGTATGAAAACATGTGACAAACTAAAGTTATATAAATTAACTGACAACTATTTTATTTTAGACTGGCACCCTAACCGAAGATGGATTGGACTTCCATTCAGTAATACCGTTACGGTCTGGGGAGAAGTTTGGAGAATGTGTAGTGGAAGTTAGCAGTCTGGCTGTGACCAGCCCGCTCATACAAGCCCTGGCGTCCTGTCACTCTCTCACCAGCATACAGGGACAGTTGAAGGGAGATCCTCTTGACTTGAAGATGTTTGAATTCACACAGTGGGTGAGTGAATTTTACTGTATCCTAACTTTGCATGTTATGAAACAAATTGTACCACGACTCTCTGTCTATGATGAACGGAAATTAAACATGGTTTTATGCGTTTTTCATCAGCGACAAAAATGAATCGTAAGGAAGTGTTAAGTGTATAATTATAAAGATTTAAGATTGCTTATGTGCACCTTTACATCTCTTCGTGAATTAAGTAGAAAGTGACTTATGATGTTATGTTCTGGCATGAGTTGTAAGTCTGCAAACTGAATACTAATTTTTTTTTAAACATCAGTAGTCGTTTTCGTCAATTGCAATTGTAATGTATCTATTACCACTAGCAAATCAACAAGGCAATATAAATTTACAATTTTTAAACACGGAACATAACTAATTATTGTCCAGCCCAGGAAAATCGGTCATACTATTAAGTTTTATTTTAAATCCGATACAGCCAAAATAACAAAGATGATGTCATGTTTTCCCATAACAAATTACTAATGACTTTACTCGGAAATAAACCAGCTGACTATTCCTTGTTGATATGACGTCTGCTTATCTGATTTGAGTAGAAAATCTGATATCATTGAAATAGATAGCAAAGTCAGGTGTCCATCATAGTGATAAGAACTATTAGGTAATTAATATAGGCTAAGGGCTTTTGAATAACAGCATTAAGCTTTTATAGGTTTATTATTTAATTTTAAAATTTTATTCTGCTTACTCAAGCTATATATTTACCATATTTCGTCTATGGTTCAATGACTGCTTTAATAGATTAAAACTTTCTTATTTAATGGATATTTTTAAGTTATGAACAGGCGAAATTATGATGCACTAGCTTCTGAAACCACCTACCACCACGGATGGGGCCCAATAGGGCTGATGCCGATTCGGAGTCGCGGAGAACCTAACGGGTAACCGGGGCTCCGGCTCGACGTGCAGGAGAAGGAACGGGGTGGTTTTTAGTCAGTAAGAATCTGACACTCCCTTCCGCCTCACCTAGGCGGGAGCAGTCATTCGATGATTTTCCCCCCTTAAAAAAAAAGTGGTCTATTATGTTACTCCAGATCATAATTTCTCCCTAATCTAAATATTATCTCGATCCCTTTAGCCGTTTTGACGTGAAACAGTAACAAATACGTACACACACTCGCACACATACATCCTCACAAACTCTCGCATTTACAATATTAGTAGGATAGTAAGATGACTTGCAAAGCTACACAAAACTCAGCCTTACGTGGTTAAATATGTGGTCTATTTTCATTCGCAGGTACTCGAAGAACCAGGACCTGAAAACACACGATATGACAATTTGACACCTGTCATCGTGAAACCTGCTACTTCTGCTAATGGATCTATGCAGAATCTAGACGACTTTGATCCTTTCACTATGGAGATTCCATATGAGGTTTGTTTAGCAAATGGAATCAGTTATCTTAGAATATTTAATTATCCTTAGTTGGTTGTGGAGGATGCCAATCATAAGAAAAAAGAACAAAATATATATTTAAAAAATTAGGAATATGTCCACTTCTAATTCCCAAGCTCTGCATGCGGCTTGGAGATCTGTTACTGTCCTTAACTCAGTCAAGTAAAATATACTTTATTTTAAAGGAAATATTTCTAATGCTTTGTTTTTTTGATAGATCGGTTTATTGCGGCGGTTCCATTTTTCATCGGCACAACAATCTATGGGTGTTATAACCAATGTGCTGGGACAGCCACAAATGGTTTACTTCGTCAAAGGTGCTCCTGAGAAGGTAAACTAACATTACATATTTATGGAGTTAATCTTGTCTTGACAACAAAACAAAAATATATATAGAATTTCCTCTAGCTATCCTCAAGTTGAGCTCATAGCAACACGTTTTGTGATTATTATTTTTAATTATGTAGATAAGCAAACACCTGTGTCTGCTCTCATGTAAACAGTACTTATTAATATTACATACCTAAATATAGATTTTAATCCTTAAAGTATTACGTGTATTAAAATTATCTTTTTTATTCAGGTGGCTGGTATGTGCAATCCGGAAACACTCCCAGAGAATTTCAGTTCGGTTCTCAATGAGTATACATCCAACGGTTTTCGTGTAATCGGTCTTGCGCACAAAAAACTCGATCGTAAAATGAAATGGGTCGATGCACAACGGGTCAAGAGGTCCAACCTTGAGTGTGATATGGCGTTCTTAGGTTTTCTAGTCATGCAAAATAGCCTGAAGCCAGAGACAACTCAAGTGATTAGAGAACTTCATGAAGCTTCTATGAGACTGATTATGGTCACTGGTGAGTACAAAATGAAAGAAATATCATTTATTTGATAATGCACCAGGTACAATAAACATCAAACAGTAATTTTCTTCACAAAATAATAGAAACAAAAACCACGTCATGTTAAATATTGCTAAAATTCAATGAATGCTGTTCGTAATTTAGCTAATACCCACTACATGAGTACGTATTATTATCTGAATGAAAAAAATTGCTTCACTTAGTTAACAATATTAATTAATGACTTAGTAACACGTTAAAATAGGTAATTAATTAACCTAAATGTAAATATTCGTTCTGTTTTCCTCTTAATATGACAAAATTATGAGTAATTTTCCTATTGTTCATTTATAGGGGATAACATAATGACTGCAATGTCTGTGGCTCGAGGCTGTCTCATGGTGCAGCCACATCAGAAACTGGTCCTTATTACCACTGGACAACCGCAGACCAATGACTCACGCCCGCCTCTTTGTATGGAGGTAAGTTCTATGGTAGTTTCCGTACTAATAATTGTAAAATTAATGACGTCGTTCTTAGTGACGTTATCGGGCATCGTTGGACTATTTGTGTATAGCTGATAAAATATGCGCTTTTTACCCCAAGGCTGGTAGAGGTAAATGTAATGTTATCCCTTATAATAAAATTAACGTATTATCATATACGAGGCACGACTTCATTTGCCGTGTTATCTCTTATTGTTTTTATTAGAAGAATTAAGTAATATTTTACTAATAATAAAATTGAACTCGAAACTTCGAAACTCCTTGCTTGTCGGACTTGGGATTACTAGACCAGTAAGATGAGTTAGTATGATGAGTTACTGAGTATAAAAAATAAAAATATAAAAAATAACCTTATTGTCCTGTAGTATGATTGTGTGGTGTACAATAAAGCATATATTTCATTTTATTTAATGTTATTTAATATTTTACAGGTGGTAGGCGAAGGCGCACCGCCTAAGTTGGCATTAGATGCCTATGTGTTAGCTCTCGAGGGTAAAACTTGGGCTGTGATACGTACTCATTATCCCGAGCTAATGCCGGTGGTGCTCGCTAGAGGTAAGTTATATTTCTTTCAAGATAAATGTAAAACTTTACTGTATTTATAATAGCTTCAATTGTTTAAATATAATTATACATTACTCTAAAAAGTTTTTAATTAATGACACGACGAAGATATTAGTAGAAAATGTCAAAAGTGTGTAACTTTTCACATTGATCGACTATAGTAAATCAGTTTTCATGAATAGTTATGAAATTTAGGTTAAATTACTGTGTTGAAATTTTTATTTGAGACATACGAGTTCTCAAGAATGTGCATATATAATATAGTATAATCACAATCACCTTCATACTTGCTTCAGGCATGGTATTCGGTCGTTTCGGTCCGGACCAGAAGACGCAGCTTATAACCGCGCTGCAGGGCGAGGACGTCGTGGTCGGGATGTGCGGGGACGGCGCCAACGACTGCGGCGCGCTCAAGGCGGCGCATGTGGGCATCTCGCTCTCCGAGGCCGACGCATCGGGTATGTGAATTAAAGTTGCTATTTGATAGGTTTTGTTATGATTTCCTTTACAACTAGAATATTACCGTGTTGTCATTAATGGCAAAACGATAATCAATACTCACATAATTATTTACTAGCTTTTACCCGCGGCTTTGCTCGCGTTACAAAAGGATGAAAAGTAGCCTATGTGATATATACCAATTCATACAGCGCCATCTATACCAATACTTTTGTTTTCCCTCGGGAATATCAAATTTTTCCGGAATAAAAAGTACCCTATTATTTAATCCGGACTTCTAACTTTACGTCTGCAAAAATTCAAAGCAATCGGTTGAGAAGTTACGGCGTGAAGGTGGAACAAACAAACAAACAAACTCACTTTCAGATTTATAATATTAGTAAGGATGTTCACCTACTCAAGTAACTACTTGACGAGCTGACTCGACTAGTTTCATACTACGCTGGGGCGCATACTTTTAAGCAAGCGGCATTGCGCTGTGAATATTGCATAACCAACACATGTCAATTAGCTACGGTTTGCTATCGTGTGTGAAGAAATTTTATAATTCTTTATTTTTGTTTTCAGTGGCTGCCCCATTCACGTCTCAAGAGCAGAATATAAAATGCGTGAAACTCCTCGCTTTGGAAGGGCGTTGTGCTTTGAGCACATCGTTCGCTATCTTCAAATACATGGCTCTTTATTCACTAATTCAGTTCTTCTCTATACTGATTTTGTATAATGTAAGTATGGATATAAAAATACTGATTTTATAATCATATCACACAGTTAAATTCTGTACAGCACATACCTTGTGTTGATTAATATTTACATAATTACTACAAGAGAAATTTGCATGTTTTTTATATGAGTGTCGTTACGTAAAAGTCGTAAAACAAAAATAACGTATCTCGAAAATGCAGAGAAACTCTTTATTTTTACTGAATCACTTATGCCCGAATACTGAAACGTTACTCAATTTTAAGTCACGCTTAAGTATAGTTCTGTCACCACTAATTCTTTGTGAAATGACAGAGATGGCACGATATTTAAGCACGACTTAAAATTGAGTAACGTTTCAGTATTCCGGCATTACGAGCATTATTTTAAATCCAAATTTCTCTCATCACTCTGTATTTGTTACAGTTCTACTCAATCCTCGGCAACAATCAGTTCCTGTACATCGACCTGGTACTGACGACACTCCTGGCGCTGTCCCTGGGCCGCGCGTCCCCCGGCCCAGTACTGACGCGCCAGTCCCCGCCCGTGTCTCTCGTCGCTCTCTCTAGTATCTTGCCACTCATCATACAAGTCTCATTGGTGCTGGTGATGCAGGTTGCGTCCATTTATTTGCTGTATGCTCAACCTTGGTAAGTTATTATGATAATATTACTTGTTAAGACAATATGTATCATGTTCATGATAGTAGTATTATGGTATATTCTTCTTATGTAATAAACCAAGGCCCCTCGTTTGAACGGTGGCATAACGGTTAGATTCCCGCACGGAGCAACTCTTTGTGTGATCCACAAATTGTTGTTTCAGGTCTAGGTATCAACTTGTATGTTTGTAAACGCACCCACGACACAGGAGATTATAGTGTGGGGCAACGTTTTAAAAAAGAAAGATGTTCATGACAATTTAAGTACCGCGAGCAAAGCTCCATGCAAAAAGCTAGTAGTTAACTAGAACCACTAGAGCGAAAATATATCGAGAGAAATAATTCAATAACCAACATTATCTCTATGAAAGAGTAAGCAGTTGTAAAACTTAGATATTTCATTTCAGGTTCAAACCAGTCGAAGGGGGTCCCGACGTAGAACAAGTATTGTGCTGGGAGAACACAGTTTTGTTCATAGTTACTGCATTCCAGTACTTAATTATGGCCTGCGTCTATGCCAAGGGCTGGCCTTTCCGACAACCTTTCTGCACAAATTGTAAGTACAAATTAATGATCAATCATTTATTATTATTACTTTAACGGCTATTTAAGAGCTATAAAGTTATTAGGATACAAAAGTAAATACAATACTAAGATACTTTGTTCTGCAACATTTTAGGTAATGATTATTTTCGGGATCCTGATGAATCCTAAATCTGCGAGCGAATATCGAAAAATAAGCAGTTACTATGCAACATTTTCGGTAACCTAACTATACTCCGTCTGTTTAGGTAGTTAACTATTTGTAAACAAACCATAAAAAGAGTTCTTTTTAGTTGACATTTCCATGATTCAAAATACTTCATAAGAAAATAAAATTGTTTCCCTTTTTACGACAGTTTTCTCTATTAAATGTTATGTTTCTGTTCCTTTTCACTTATTTCTTAGTAAATATTATGTATATCTGCTTGAGGATAATAATTTAATAATATTTAGTAAATAATATAATATTTCATTACAATAGACACCATAAAGAGCCTAAAATCCCAGGTATCCAAAACCTTTCTTTAAGAACGAAGCAAAATAATGTTGTCAAATTAAAGAGTACAACTAAGATGTAGCGCGACAATGAAAGTACCGTGTATTACGTTTAGTCGGTTAATCAGGCGCCATTGACAGCTCTCTCGTCGTTTGCGCTCGCGTTCCTATTTTGTTTCTTTGTTTTGTTTTTGTTATTAAGTTATTTAAGTTCAGGTTATTCATCGTTTGTAATTAATGTGTTCAAATATATTGAAGAAACTTGGCCCGTACAAGAAAGAAATCCGTACATCAGATTCAGAATAGTTTCAATTTAAACATGATAATGAAATAGACCCATAGGCTAGGCTCTTGTACGATTTAGGCATTTGTACTTGTATGTGTGTGTATGACAAATGAACGATTTTAAAGTGAATTTAGTTAAAATTAAAACACGAGAAATATTTGAAGAAATAGTAGGTTAAGTATCTCTGTGTCACGTGGTTTTCTTTGTTTACCTTTAGTTAATTACCTAAACAGATGGACTATAGTAACTACGGTTCTCAAACAGCTTTATTGCAAAAATGTGTGCATTGACTATAGGAAACACCTCCAAAGGGGGGAAGTCTTTGTTTAGCAATGCATGATAAAGTGATTATTTTATATTTAATTTTAGTTCAAATAGTAATACAATGTCATCTTTCTATTTCAGATTATATGATGATAACGTTAGTTACACAATCAGTGTTCGTGACGGTACTACTGCTGTGCCCGTGGCAGTGGCTGGCAGACTTCATGGAAGTTGAAGCCATGGCGTCGGCTGACTCTGAACAAACTATGTTCCGTATCTATCTATTGCTAATACCTGCCCTTCATATTATACTAGCTATAGCTGTTGAGGTGAGTTGTACTCAATATTGTTAAATGCCATGAAAGTATTTATTATAAATAACTAGCTTCTGCCTGCGACTTCGTGAGCGTCCCGTTCCCGTTTGTGATTTTCAGTAAAAAGTAAAAAAGTATTGGTTAAAAAGTATCCTATGTCCGTCTCTTGGTTCTAACTATCCACCTTTCCACCAATATTCATCCAAATCGATTAAGTTGAGATCTTGAGTTATAAATAGTAATAATAACACGATTTTGTTTTATACTATATAGATACTTAGTAGTTGTCTAGGGTAGTCCCTACATGCACGGTTTTTGCTGTGGACAATAAAGATTGAGAATAGCTACGAGTGTTACCAGCCAGTAGTGTACTCTTCTTTTGCATTTGAATTAATCGAATGTAGTCTGCTAGTACTAATTGATTTGAGTAGTGTTGTTAATTTGGTTATTTCTTTTAATGTTTGCTGTGGTACATTAATCATACTAACGATGTTATAAATGATTAATATGTATTAATTTATATTTCCAGGCGAGCTTATCGGACTGCGAGAAGTTCTCTCGCCTAGTGCGCATGATGCGGCGACGTTGCGACAAGGCGGCGGAGGGCGACGCGGCGCGGCCTCTCTGTGTGCCGTCGCACCTGCAGCTGTGCTGACCGCGCCGAGTCTCTTACTGCTGGGCTCACTGGGCTAGCTGGACATGCTGGGCCCGCTGGGCTAGCTGGACATGCTGGGCCCGCTGGGCTAGCTGGACATGCTGGGCCCGCTGGGCTAGCTGGACATGCTGGGCCCGCTGGGCTAGCTGGACATGCTGGGCCCGCTGGGCTAGCTGGACATGCTGGGCCCGCTGGGCTAGCTGGACATGCTGGGCCCGCTGGGCTAGCTGGACATGCTGGGCCCGCTGGGCTAGCTGGACATGCTGGGCCCGCTGGGCTAGCTGGACATGCTGGGCCCGCTGGGCTAGCTGGACATGCTGGGCCCGCTGGGCTAGCTGGACATGCTGGGCCCGCTGGGCTAGCTGGACATGCTGGGCCCGCTGGGCTAGCTGGACATGCTGGGCTAGCTGACACTCCATGCTTCCACTCATACCGAACATTGCCAACTTGATAAGCTAATGGTACCACCATCCAGTGTTCCAATACATTCTCATAGGTTAGTTCATGTTATTACTTTACTAATTTCCCGCTCGCAACCAATCACTGATGAACACCGTGAAAAATCGACTCAGTAGTTTCTAAGTTTGTCGCAAATTAACGTATGCGGCGGGAACTTTGTTTTATAATGTGTAAGGCTATCAATCCAAAGCCATCCAATCAATGGTGTTGCCATCAGTTTTTATCAGTTTAGTTGCACTAACTTGACAAGTTAGAACATATTTATTTTTAAGAGAATGTAATGTCAAGTTCTTGCATTTCGTTATGAGTTGAAGCGTTTGTTGAGTTCGTGATTACGCCTCTGGGTGATTCTTCGGAACATTTTTACATATAGTTATCCTCAACCCGAAGTGCAGTTGTTTATTTTCAAATGGTCAACACCCTAGAGTTTATGAGGATGATTTGTTAAAAAAGTTAAAGATTTCTGAAGGATCACTTCTCCGGGACTATCCCGCCTCATAGTTACCTTTTTACTCTGTAGTGATAGTAGAAGACACTGAAACGATCAGTGTAGTTTCCGAATTGTTTGTACTATAATATTTATTTATCAGTCGGCAAATAACCTTACTGGAAGTTGAGTTGGCTGTTACTTAATTTAAGTCCCAATCTAGTAAAATTACTCTACTGCTGTTCAGCGGAACAAACGCTATTTCATTGGCCGCTGTGCCGTTAGGTATGAACTAAAACAAGCACTTAAAATGTATATAGAAAAATACATTTTTCGTAAGAAGACCCGTGCTAGTGTTAGTAGAATCCTAACACTTCGTCAGATAGTCTTATTAGCTAAGTGAGATCCCGTTTAGTACATTGTCACTGCGCATGGGTACAGGCGCCGTCAGATCCAAAATAAGGAGCTGGTGATTGCACTAGCAGCCATTTTAAAAAATGGTACAATAGACCAGTGTCTATTCTACCATATTTTAAATAGGTTTTTTAAGACTATCATGACTTCTGCTGTGATAAAGGAATTCTCGTATACTTCCAGCGCTGAATATCATTCACGTGTCTATGTAACCTTTCTGTACTATTTTGTTTTAAAAGTAGTTAAAACTCTGATTACAGTACTTCGTACGTATGGCTATTATTAAAATATCGAAAACTATTTAATTAAATTAATCAAGTAGATTAATATTTAATTTAACACATTTTACTTATTTTTTATAGGTTGTGCCAACATTTTTATTTTATACTTATTTTTTAAACTAAATTCATCATTTTCATTAAACGAGTCTGTCAAGTTATTTTTATCGGTTAGTATAAATAGGGTCGCAATTAGAAGTATCAGGATATGGTCATCATCCTTTCTACAATACACGTAAACTATTGAATAAAGTACTCAGTTTTCAAGTAAAAAAAATAGTGAAACTCTTAAAGTCTTGTCTGGTTAAGAGAGTTGTGATTATCTTTACAATCTAGTAACTTCACAGTCCGCCTAAGTGTAATGGCCCCATCGTCCATAAACGATAGCAACTTACTAATCAAAACCTCTGAAAGAGGAATGATTCCAAATTTAAATGGACCATTATGGGGTTAATTTTAATCAATATTGTTATGCTAACTAATTGTTGTACTTAATGGTTAAAAATATGTATGATATTAAAAAGGAGTGCCAAATAACGCTTGACAGACTCTACCGAAATACGTCGTTATCTATTAAATAGAAACCTGCAACAGTACAAAACTTGTTAGCCGGTAAATAAAAATAGTAAATTTTGAAAACTGGCAGCAGTTTATATTTCACATACTTCCATCATCATGTCATAGTGTCATACCATACGCATTCACTAATGTCTTTTTTTAGTTAATTTTTGTCATAGACACCTCTTTGGTCCATTTTCGCGGCGGTTCAAAAAAACATTAAAAAAATCGTTGTATCTTGGAATTCTATAGTTAATATTTTACTGAATTATCGTCTAATCAGACATTATTTCTTTAATGAAAGTAGTCACAAAATTGTTTGATTTTATATACCTAGAAAACATTTTTAAATCAAATGACTTTGTCTTACTTACTTTATTTATAGTAATATTTTACAGAAAGTGATTTATATAGAAAAATATTGGTCCTTTTAAATGAAATCATAGAATTAGTAGTATAAGTTGAATCCTACTTATTTTATTATTGTAAATATAGTTAAAATTATGAATTGAAATTACGTATGTTTTGAGTATGTGCGATTAATTTAAGATATAAATGATTTGTGATTTTGCATTTCGCCCGTACTTCACAATTTTGAAGATTTTGCTCAGTTGTATCTAAGCTACGCTGATTTCAGTGTTACAGACATTGTTATTGGTCAGGTACATAATAAAACAATAGTGAGTTTTCTGCTGCATTGTATTATTATCGTAAAATACATTAAAACGTGCAAAAACTGTGTTTAAAGCTATTACTTATTTTACGTCTTAATTTATTTATTGTGCTACTTAAATCGTTTTTCAAATTACTTAATATTAAGTTCTCATTAGTTACTTCATAAATGCACTACCAAGAAAATATTATAAAAATACTAACACTTGTGCGTAATCCCCTGTGGGATACAGATTTTTATATCTAATTTGTATTTAGTAATTTATTTTATTCAATGGTTGCATTTTGATTTGCATGTACGCATTTTTTATTTTAATTATCATGTATTCATACGCCATTCTACTTGAAACCGACATTTCTTAAAGAGATTTTCGATTCTATTGTCTCAATAAAGTCGGAAATCTTGAATAGTTTTGTCAGTTTGTGGTAACTAATGAGGAATGAACTTTGAGGATCATAAAACACTAGATACGTATTTGAATTAACGTAACATATTTCCAATTGTTACGTTGAACAATAGTATTTTTAATAAACGTAAGATAATCCAGTGAGCGAGCAGCTGTCTCTTAAATGTATTGTTAAAACCAAAGGAATGTTAAGTGTTATTCGAAAATCCATCTTATTTGTACGTATGTAGGTCTATAATTAAGTTGTAACATCTAAGTGATACAAGTTACTCGCCGTGCGCTGGACTAGAAGTATTACATCAATATTAAATACTAGGTCGTAGAAATATAACGTTTTTTAATCGGGTTTAAGCGGTATTATAATGCCAAAGCTGTCAAGAATACTTAAAAGATAATTTGAACTGGCACTGTAGTTAAATCAACCTATTGGATGAAATAATGTTCGCAAGTTAATGTGTTTATTATAAAAGTACTTGCATATTTCTATCTGTAAGTATATGTATCTATAAACGATTTGATATTACGAAGTGTTGCGATAAAAATACAATCAGCAATATCAATATCAGGTATTTGAAAACGAAGTAAGAGTATTATGACTCATTCATGCGGTGGGTACCGCAAATGAGTGAAGTGCGTGAGTAATAGATTGCTAAGTCAATTTATTAATGCAATATTAGTAATATTTATGTGTTTCATTAGTCAGAAATTTCATTCCTAATTGTTTAGTACTTAGACGTTTGGTGCTGCGTATGATTTAGTACCTTTGGTTCGTAGATAACAAATTGTAAAATACTTAATATTATATAGAAATACGTTCACAAAACACGAAATATTTCGGAACTTATATTTTTTTGTAAACTTGTTATTTATTGAACTGCATTATTGTGGTTGTTTTTTAGGCTTTACTGCATGTATGTTTATATTTCTCGTATTTTGGAACTTGTTGACTGTTTTTGTGTCCAATTGTCACAATAATGTAGTTCGATACAGATTTTACTAATTGCGACATTAGATGGAATATGGATGTATGACCAAAAATATTGGAATAAATATTAAAGAAGTATATTTTTGTTTCATTCCTCAAACACCTAAAAGAAACATTGTTATCTTATTTAAGGCAAGTAGGTGGGATATGAAGGAGGCGGTGAATACTCCGGTGGCTGTACGTTCTTAGCGCGCACCACTAGTGGACGAGCGCTGCGTGGTACCGGGGGCTGCTTCCACCTATAAACAAATACCTTATGAAAAGACAGAGAGAGTTAATCGGACTACTCTAAAAGTGATACGTTGTCAAACACGTCCAATGGAGAATCCTATGTTTTCGTTAGCTCAAAAAATAATACTGAATGTCAGTTAATAAACAGCATAGCAGTGATTCATACACAAAACACATGATCGTTGGCTAAAATTGTATAAAAAATTACCAAGGCTCAAGACTCAGATCATGTGGGGTTTGGGCCGAGCCAGTCTCTCAGCTCGCTCCTCTCGCAGCACGTCCGCATCTCTAGCAGCTGCACACCACGCTCGCAGCGTGAAATAGTACAATAGCTCCACTCCGGACAAAAGGGAGAAACCCAGGAACAATCCCGCTATACCACCGAATGAAACTGAAATGTGATGTCAGTTATTTGTATAGTTATTAACGTTAACCAACTATGGTGAAACAAAAAGAAAGTCTATAAATATTTTTGGTAGTGTACTTAGGATCCTAAAATTTCGATTAGTAGGACAGTAGGATCCTTTAATTTTTTGGAGATCTCACTGTAATCTGTCACCCGCTAAGCGGATGACGTATGGCAATGGATTTGGATGGGCTTGCGGGATAAGTAAATCAATATGGAGTCATCAAATGTTCATTACCTGAATAGGTTAGGAAGAAATAAACATTTATATAAGTACCAAGACGTCCAAAAAATAGGCCAATAGGAAAAATAACGTAATATATTCTATTCTGCGGTGTACATAGCTGGAATTCTAAGTGTTTCAAACTGACTCACCCAGCAAGTCGACCCAACCGAAGAGCACCTCACGTTTGTATCGGACCATAGGCCACGACACAAACTCGGTTTCCAATAAAGTGTTCTCGCTGATCCGCGTCGCACTGCAAATAAATAACTTTTACTAACTGAAACAAATATTCAGGAAATTGACCCGGTTTCTATTTTACTTTAGTAATCAGTTTTGATTCTGCATAGGTACAGACAGAGAGGTGTCGTGGTTGCTCGGAGATTTAAGACGCCCGCTTCTCATGCATGAGGGTGCGGGGTCGAAACCTATCAACGGCAAGTACCAATGCGACTTTTTCCGGTTATAAATGTACTTTCTAAGTTGATCTATAGACACCACTGACAAACTGCGAAGGAAAACATCGTGAGGAAACCTATAATTTCTAATTATAATTTTGTAATCGCTAACCAGCATTGAGGAAGCGTGGTGGTTAATGTTCAAACCCTCTTTGTGTCAGAAGAAGCTTTGCTCGGCAGTGGGCATTTATAGGCTGTTAATGATAGGTACAAACATGTGCAAAAGCGTTTTATCGGTGATTTTACAAATATTTATTTCATACGCATTTTTACTATTAAATTACTCTTTAAAGTAGGTACATCAATGCAATACATCAATAAGCTAACAAAACATAAGAAAATATATTTTCCTGTTTCTATCGTTCTTCGTCGTTCCTTTTTCCTACAACACCCACCAACTTACGTAGGTTGCGTCCAAATGACGTAGCCGTTTTGCGTCACATACCCACTAGAACGGTCTCTAAACAATAGCTTAGGTTTTATTACGCAAAACTTACTCGACATCCGAAAGTTTTTCGACTTCATATACAGTGTGCGAGCACCCTAGTTCACAGCTGCAACTTGTGACATCTGTTATGGCAGCCGCATGTTTTGCTATGCATCCTAATTCCCGTAATGTGCATTGTTTGTAGCCCTCTGTAATCAAATAAAAAATATATATATTTATATAGCTTCTATAGCTAAACCACAGACGCGTTCATTGAGTGGTTGTAGGCTGTTGGGCAGGTGCTTTCGGGTCGAGCGAAGTAGATTTTTTATAATTACCAGTACCTAATCGTAGTTCGGCGTCTGAATTTGTGACCGGTGAATTGTGAATCTGCCAAAATGTTAATTTTTGGTTGCTGTGAAACTTACTCAAAGGCGGATAGAAATGAGGAACACATTTGCAGAAAGCCCGACTCCGTTGCATGCGGCACTGTCTCATGCAAGCTGAATAAGTGTAAATGTTGGAAGTCTCCAGATGTTGCTCGTCGGCAAACACGCAGCGTCGTTGACGAATGGACAGCTGACGAGCGTCTTCGGTGGTGTAAGTGTGTTTTACAGAGAAAGATACTTTTTCCACTCGACGGTCCCAAGAGTGCTGAGCGCTTTGCTCCAGACCCGCCATTTCTTCTGTTGAATGTATGAAAATCTGGAATATTATTTATGCAGACGTTAAAATACTGTTTCCGTCATCCTATTTCCACTTTATAATAAAACAAAAGGTAAACTCACATCGAACGTTGTATTCTTTCGATCCGAATTAAACATGAAGGACCATTTCGCGTCGGTCTCATGGATGAACGCTTCATTGAACTGTTCAGATTGAGTCTGCGATTGCCTGGAACGTAAAAGGTCAAATAACGGTCACTTAATATTTATATAGGTATTTTATTTCAATTGTTTAAAAAACCTTCATACCATGGCCATACTTTTTCCGCATGTTTGGAGTTAAAGGCGTAACAGAATCCCATTTCAGTGAATACAGGCATTAGCACGTCGCAACATTCCTCGGAATCTCCCTTCCATTCACAGTCGTAGAACAATGACTCACAATGTCGAACTATCTGCAAACAAAAAACTAATGTCTGGGAAACAAACAAACCTAGTTACCCACACAGCTTAGCTATAGGGAGAGAGACTTGGTGTTTAGGTGTTATTTTTTTTAAATTATTTTATTTAATTTACTTGGAAAACGGCGTCTTTAGGATTTTTGGAAACTGCAGGGCCATCTTCATCGTCCTTTCCAACAAGGGCTGTGTCTGAGAGAAAATCCGCAGCATGTTCTTCTATAGATCGGTAGGTAAGTGTGGCCAGCCATCGTAGCATCTCACCAGCCTTCTCCGGAGGCTCTGAACCCCAAGTGCTAAACAATGTAATTAATAGCCTTATAAGCAATATTTTTTTGTATTCTAACTTTACTGTTTTTGTAATAAAGTCCAACATCTATTGCATTGGCATTAGGGTAGTTTGATTAGCGGGTATTTTTACAAAATCAGCTCAAAGGTGCAAAGCATTGCTTCAATAAAATGTTACATATTTTCTACCTTTCAATGTAAGTTTCTAGTAAATCGTCGTCAACTGGATCCACGTCACATATTGTCACTGCAGGGAATGGGACATCCCAGTTATGGAAGTCTGTATCCAAACCTAAAAAATAAAGCTGTTAGGAGAACTCTTCATATGGTAGACAAAATAATTGTCACTGTGCCAATTGCGTCGACCTTTCGGTTGTATACACTTACTCAGTTACTCACCCGTGATAGTTGGGTTAGTTTGGAACTTCTCCCATAAACTGACTATGATTATACAAGTCGTTACTGCTCCTACTGCTGTAAAGCTAAACCACATAAACCTGGAACAGTATTCATTTTATTTGTTGTGTTTTGATAGTCGATTATCATTTCCATTCGATTTATTGAGAGCTTACTTCTCACAAAAAGGCCTGTCCTTCTCAGCGATGTATCGTACACCATGCAATGTTGAATTGTTGAAAAACTCTGTAGTCTGGTGACGTAGGCTAGCAGCCAGCAGCGAAAGACCACTAACATCTGAAGCCGGCCGGTTCTTCTTAGAACCATCATTTTTAAAGTTAGACTCGGGATATACTCTCATGTCACCATGTATCACATTTTCACTACGTTTCACTTTGTATGGCTACACACAAGATCGGCAATGAGTTGACTGAATCACGCTACAATGATAACATCGAAACTATCGATCAACCGTTGCGTGATGTTTTGGTGGACCTATTGCCCACTTTTGTAATACCACTAATTACTTTAATGTGTGTACCTATCTATATAGCTGACATTGATTTTGAAAGGACACTTTATTACAGCTTCATTTTATAAATTAATAGGTAACCTGAATGCGGCTTCACTTGTGGTGTAGTACATAAAATAAAGTACGGTTGGGTAGTCTCTGGCCCCTAAGGTGCCTCCTAAATCTCAAACCAGCCACTACCAAAGACAGGACGCTCTTCTTATAAATCAGATATGAATTTAACTCCGCAACCCAAACGAGTGAACTCTTACAGTAGATGTATTTTGAATAATGAATCATTTGTTCTACCCACACTGGTTCTGGCATTTTGATTAAGTAACTCCGTAATTAAATACTGACTTAGCAAAAATAATAAAATATAGCTAGAATCACTTTCCTCAAAACTTTCAATTTCACAAAGTACCAATTACTGGGTTTTTAAAAATCTCAGTAGTAGCACGGAGTCTGGGAGTATTACATGGGACTCAAAACATACATAAATAGTGAAAACTGGGTGTTACATTGTACAGTGGCATTAAGTGCCGTAATGTGCATCTCTGCCTACCCCTTCGGGGATAAAAGGCGTGATGTTTTGTTATGTTATGTCACTTTCATCAACAAAACCGTTTGCATAAGTTTTGGGGCAGAATAAAAAGTGTGTCTGCAACCGGCCTAATAAAATATCACTTGGCGCGTAGGTGTATCAATAAGTTATACAAAACATAGGTACGTAGCTTCGAGTAAAGCTTTTAATAATTCATAATAGCAATTTAGCAATTAACTATCATAACAGATAAAGGATAAACACTTGTTTATATTTTACGTAGGTAACCATAACACGTGACATGGCTGCTTCAGTGGTGCAAGTACCTAGTACCTACCATTGTACAGGCGACTTTTGAGTTTTTTTTGGGGTCAACCAAGGAAGTGTGAGAGGGCCATGCTTCAGCACGAATGGGCCGGATCGACCGGAGTGACACCACGGCCTTACAAAAAACCAACGTGAAACAACGCTGCGTGGTGTCGTGTGAGTGAGGTTACCGAAGGCCCAATAAAGGGCCCCCTCCCCTTCCTCAATCTCCCCAATCTCTGAATCCTCAAATTCTTAATCCCTAAAAGGCCGATAACGCCTCTGGAGTTCCAGGTGTCCATGGGCGTCGCCGATTACTTACTATCAGGTGATTCGTCTGCCCGTTTACCGGCTAATCCCACAAAAAAATATAAATCAAACCAAATAAAATCATCATAAAAATATATTTAAATTTATTAAAAACTGGAATACATAAGTACTACATAATTACTTATCTGACGATAACAAAGATTTTATAACATAAAATTATACACGTAACTGTTTGACGAGAAACTCGACTAGTTTCGAGCCATTCTAGAGGCTTATATTCATGAGCAGCATTCCGCGACCCGCGACGCAGCGACTTTCGTCGCAACAGTTACGTGAGTAAGCCAAAAACATAATAATTAATTAGTATGTCTCACGAAAGTTTTAATATAAACATAAAATTACATATTAACATCATTAACAAAAAGTAATTAAATACCTGAAGATACCTATAAGAAATACCTACGACAATACTCATAATTTAAAGTGCACTCATTGGGTTGATAGTGTGGGTAGGCTCTGGGTCGTGTATTTCACATTCTGGAGTGATTAGCGGTTCCATTTGAATGTCGAGATCCTTCAAAGCGCTGTCCAATATTTTAATTTTCCCGAGTAAACACTCCGCTTGTAAATTATATCCTGGTTCAAGCATTTTACCGGTCGGATTCAGCTTGAATAGATGTTCCGCCTGATGGGTACCAAACAGATTACATATCACTTAGGAGATATTTAGGACTCTATTCAATTAGAAATACAGAAGCTCGAACACCAATTAGGTGACATTTTTAGATAATTAGACCCGTCCTCCAGTATGGTCCTGTGTAGGTAGGTAGGTAGTTACAGGATTTTGAAGATTTTCTATCAGACGATAGAAAAAATGAGGAAGGTCTGTCATAGCCTCTACTACATATTATGAAAGGTGTATACACCTGTATACAGTCAAATAGTCCTATTTGGAGAACGAAGCCTATCTTCCTATACCTACCTAATATTAATAAAAAAATAAATAACATTAATTAGATAAATAAAGCAAGTTTATTTAACATTGAACGAAATTAGTATTCAACAATATCAAAACAATTAAATTAAATTAAATAAACACTAGACTAAAATGGCACAATCCTACCAACATAGACATTTTTTGGAAGACTACTTGACAGCGGAAGTTTTAATAAATAAAATTAACAAAACACAAAATTTAAATTAACAAATTAAAGCCTTTTGTATAATACAAATAAAGGCGATTTTAAACTGTACGTAGATATTATGAAGAATATTTGTAGCCGCCTAGTGTGTCAACATATTTGCGATCAAGACTAGTTAGACTAGAAGTGTCTTCGGTTACGGCTGCATCGGCTTTACGTTGTAAAGTGGCCTCCTTGGGCCTTTCGTCAGTACATTCGTTCTCCAATTTCGTCCTTTCATCGTCTAATTGGCATTTTTCCTCCAACGCCACACCAAGTGGGTTTAACTTGAAAGTTTTTTCCGCCTGACGATTTCCAAAGTATTTTGTTATGATTAAAAAAAACTTACAAAAACGTACAAAATAAGCATTTACGTAACCTCTTTATTATTCTTTATAGTTTAACAAATCCTCAAATGTTACCTGCTGATCACCAACTCACTTAAAGATAGGTACTTTTAATGAACAATTTACTTACTAGGAAATCGATAGGATCCTCAGGTCGTAATTTAGCGACTTCAAGTAAAGCAGGAGTGAGGGTTGGGAAGATGTGATGTACCAAATAATTGCGCATGGGCTCGCCAGCAGCCGCCAATGCTGCTTCTTCTTCTTCGCGCATCATTGCGTATAACTCCGTCTATGGACGTGGAATAGGTTATAAATTATTATATTAACAATCAATAAAAAGGCAAAATTAAGACAACGAATGTATTATTAAAATAATTTAGCTCCACCCAATATTCCATTTTCTCTTCGCGTTCAGTTCTCAGTTTCTCCTCCTTTTCTTTCAAAGCTTTCGCTTCATTGGACTTCAAAGTCTCTTGTTCACATTTTTCTTTCTTCTCAGCAGCTTCAATAAGTGCTGTAAAAATGAGATATATGTTGGTTTGTAAAGTTTTTGATAAGATAATATTTAAAGCAATTAATAAGTAAGTAAGGATTTACTGACCGAGAAGTTTTCCATAACGGCAAGGTCGACCCATTCGCAGTGTTACGGCGGTGTATGGGCCCTTCATATCGTAATCTGTATGGTCTTTCACAGGAACCACTATTGGATGTATATCCAATTCGTCAAAGAAATTAAGCGGAGTAATTTCTCGGGTATCACCAGCTCGGAATTCACTTAATCTTCTCAGTGTAGTCTCTTCATCCAGACGAGAGTATCCTTCCGGTTGTCTCATAGCTTTTTCGCAAATAAACTCATCAGTAGCTTCCAGCGATACTACAATATCTGTAATGACATCATCATCACATGAAATAAGTATTTTTAATTCCTGGAATAGAACCTATTTAAGTAGTACCTATTTTATGAAGTAGATTCATAAACTGTACAAAAAGATAGTTATGTATACCTGGCAATAGCTTCTTAAGCACATTGCTATACAAATCAACATCTTCATCAAACGGTTCGTCACGAGTTTCTTCTCCACCTTCAGATTCCTGCTCCTCTCCTTTTTCAAATACTACAAATGGATTTATTGATTATTGTTAAGGTTAAATAGGTATCCTATTTGGTATGTACTTGTAAGTTTTACTTTTAATTCGAATATCATTATGGTGTTTCATAATAGTTATATCTTAATTTTCATATATTAATTTAAAATTCTCTAAAATTTTAATATTTTTAAATATTACTTACAAAATAAAAATTAATATTTAAAAATATAAGAAATAGGAGCCGACCAGTAGCGGAAGCATAGTCAAAGCTACCGGTGGTTAGGGCTCCAGAGACAGAAACCTCCTCACGATACGTGCCGTTTCTAGGAGAACTGCCTTCTGTATCAGGCCCTTGACCCATCCATCCTGAGATGGATGTCGAGGTTTTTAGGGATTAACCCATTGGCCGACACGACTCGGCACAATGATAGCTGAATACACACTCCACATGTCGACACATGCTAAGTCTAGATATTTTATAGATTATTATTATTATTATAATAGCACAAGTACTAACTTACTTGTTTGACATTGTGCTTGGGTCATGGGAAACCCGTCAAGTACCCATCCTCTGTTGAGAGCCTCACGACTTAACAACTTTTGACGAAGGTACCTAAGTAGTAGTGAACCAAAAAATAGATACATGGTTAGGTATACATATATATGGGTATACAGACAAAATAGTACAGTTATGTTGCAGTATGGAACATGACTGTACTATTTTGTCTAAAAAGGAAAATGAAATAATAAATTTAATACGTGATTAAATTCAAAGAAGAACCTCTGTGAACGCCATAAAACACGACATTGTCGTCCCTCAAAAAGTCTGGTAAAACACTTAGACCCTTTTAGTGTTGTGGATGTCCATGGGCGATGTCGATTGCTTACCATCGGGCATCAGGTGATGCGTCATAAAAAAAAATATATTACACAATAATTTCTTCATCGGAAAGCGGACGCCCCGACTGGAGTAATGCCAAGGTTTGTCTAGCTTGTTCTTGAATTTCTTCGTCTTCACCCTGGTCTTCATCATCCATTCCCAAGTCTTCTTCCTCAGGATTTGGATCAGCTATCGCTGCTGTTTCACCAATATCCCAATGTTGCACGCGCCATGTCTAAGATTCGAGTGGTACATGATATAAAGATAGGTTCATAGATAAATGACGACGTTACCTAAGTGGGAACAATAAAATTGCTGGCTTAAAGTTGACTACACTTTACTGTGGGATGGGTAAGTACTTATACCAAAGTGAAGGCTGGTTTGCGGGTTTTTACTCTGTAGGTAGGTACTGTTATGCTTACATTACAAGCAACCTAATAATTTCACTAGATACTTAAAAAGTTACGTTCTACTCTACCTAGTGCATACTACACAACTCACGACCAAACAAAGAAATAATTTTGATAAAAAATTGAATAATAACGTGTACCAAGTCTATCAAAACCAATATAAGTAAGTAATATAAATAAGCAATACGGCGTCGGGCACACGTTATTGCACGCATATTGATAATTTCACAGAGTTAGATAGTATTAACACAGTATAAATATATACAGTAGGTTATCTAAGGCCGCCCGCCGAGTTATTAGCCTACTCTTGCGTTGATCCCCAGGGTTGTCACTTTTACTTTTAGTTAATATTTTCGAACAAGCAGCACTTGATCTAAATTTATGAAATGAAAAGCATATTATGATTGAATATTTTATCAATTTATAAATTTAGTAAAAATAAAAAGCTTATAAAAAGATTATTAACTTCTTAAAATAAACTTTAGCTCTATACATAGTATTCAGAAAGTAAATTTGGGAATACATTTATATGGAACTAGCGACCCGCCCCGGCTTCGCACGGGTGCAATACTTATGTAAAAATACCTACTACAAAATGTCCTTATACACCACGTTCACAGCTATTTTGTCATTAGACAATACAAACATGTTTTATATTGATATTTTCCTCGCTAGAGAGCTCCGATAAACGCGTGCGATCGTTGCAAGTCATGAAGTGCTCTAGGACGAAGCGCGGCCATCAACGCCGCAACAAATACGTCCCTGCATTTTAAATTTGTAATATCTTCGGAAATATTCACTTAAATTACATGCTGTAAAAAGTATATTGATCTATGATAAATGCACAATTTATTTAAAGTACTTTATTGGATAAGGATTAATGCTGTATTCTACAGAGGATTCTCTGACTCTCTGAACTCTACGTCTAACCCGATCCTGGCTGCGGCGAGCCTCACGCTCTATTGAGGATTCTCTTTCTCTCTCAGTTCTATTTCTATCTCGGAGCTGGCTGAGGCGAGCCTCACGTTCCGTTGACGATTCTTCATCTCTTGCATCTCTTCTGGCATTCACTGTACTACGACCTATGTTCGCACGACGACGTCTTCCGGACATGACTTTATAATGTCTGTTCAAAATTTTATACTTAGGTACTCAGTACTTGATTAAACTCACAACTTAAAACTATACGTATGATTATGAACTAATTGCACTAATTATTGGTTAGTGCTGGAGTAAAAAATATTTACTTACTATTTGTTTGACTAAAAACAAAAGATTATCAACAACAAAATATACCTATTCTATTCAGTTCTTCTATGAACTTAACTATAATTTTCAATAATTGAAAATGCTCGCCCTAATACTAAATTGCCTTAACTCTAAATTCAAATCAAAGTCTTAATGGAAGAAATACCAAGAAATATGGTTTTATCAGTTTAATTAATTCTTGATATTTTCCTCGCTAGAGAGCTCCGATAAACGCGTGCGATCGCTGCAAATCATAAAGTGCTGTAAGACGAAGCGCGGCCATCGACGCGCTATTTATAGGCACGCGCCGCCCGGCGCAAACAACTACGACCCTGCATTTTAAATTTGTAATATCTTCGGTAATATTCACTTAAATTACATGCTATAAAAAGCATATTGATCTATAATAAATGCACAATTTATTTAAGGTACTTAAATGGATAAGGATTAATGCTGTATTGTTTAAAATCACTTCGTAAATAACAATTTTTTAGTAAAGAATAAAAATGGTTATGCTGGGTTATCCCTAAGAGATAGACATATACCATCGCGGACTTTTTTGTTGAACTTTTTAAGGTGAACAATACTGTAGTACATTATTTTGGTCTATCTCGTAGGGTTCAGCCAGCATTTGCAATATAAGCGCAAAAAAACGTGCTTATTTACGACATCACATTAGAAACCTTTAAATTTATCAGTGTTTCTCTACTATATTATGCATTTATTATACATACAAACCTTCCTTAAGAATCACTCTATCTATTAAAAAAAACCGCGTCGAAATCCGTTGCGTAGTTTTAAAGATCTAAGCATACATACGGACATACAGCGAAAGCGACTTTGTTTTATACTATGTATTGATAATGCGACACGGCTACGCTCTTAACAAATCAGATAAACTGTGAAATAAACAATACAATACCACATTTTCTTATAATATTTAAGTATAGTAGGTAATTAAATTTCTGGTTGAGTAGGAACTATGAAGAATGATAAGAGTAAGAATAAGTAAGTAGGTATCTCATCATCAAGTACCTACAAATTATATTATGCTAGAAAAAGTGACTAGCTTACCTTTCCTGTTCAATAGGTAATCTGAACAGAGACAGTTCTGGAATCGATTAATTATTAAGACACCCAAACACACAGCAATACGTTCTTCTACGGTTATCAGACATTTTTTATTTCATTTAACAGTGCCGAAAAGTGATGCGCGCGCGAACCTCGTGCAGTGTTAGCCCTGCCTGGCGCACTGAGAAACGGGTCGAGATTTTGTTAAAGTGTGCGTGCGTCGACGCATAGATACTATGGCGCACACATATAAGCCGCGCGCGGAGCATTTGTATGAAGATAACCTACTTTGTTCTTTATACTATGGTATTAATATCAACTATTATGTTTCATTTCAAGTTCTGTCATGTGAATGACGCATTGAAACAATCAATTGTAACATATAGGAACTAAAAGTAGGTAGGTAAATATAAAACAGTTACTAAATCTTCCAGCAGATCTTGGGCCACGGTTTCAGGGGAAACGTAAATAAGACCGTAAGTATCACAAATACTTTTTGCCATGGTTGTTTTTCCACAAATAGGCGGACCATACACGATAATCTGTGAGAATAAACAATATGTAAGTGTAGCGGTTCACCTTGTAACAATAAACAACTGTTAGCTAAACCTTTTGATATCACGTAAGCACCTTAAATGGTTTCAATCCTCTCTCTTTCTTAAATTGCTTCATAAGAACGGGTATGTTATCAGCGAAGGTCCCTTCGAAAGTCCACTGCAGTCCCATTGTCTCAACGATAAAAGTTGGCTCCATGTTCAAATTGAGAGTCATCAAATCGTAAATTCTTTGCTGTTGAATGAAATAAGCAACTACTTAGTAATTTGTAAGACAGGTAGTCGGTTGACAGTGTAGGGCAAAATAAAAGTTCCTTACATCGATTTCTGGAGTCAAAAAGGCGTCTTCTGGTGGAATGCATTTGAACATTCCAGAACCAATTTGTCGTCCAAGTGGTTTTATTATCTGCAACGAGAATGTTTTATCTTACGCTCTAGTTGAAGAGATAACAAACTACATTGTTACTTACATCTCTTTGTTTCGAAACGGTCTGTTCTACTGCCAATACGTATAACTTCTTCGGGAAATCCATTATTAAGTTGTGGACAATTCTGAAAGTAAGTAGGCTATCAATGATTAATAGGAAAATTAATTGTTCCCGACAGAAGTTTATTGTTCATTACTTTGAAGATTAATTTACCTTGTACATATACTTAATAGTAGGTAAATAACGTACCTACAATAAGTAGTCATGAACCTTACGGATAGACAAATACCTAAGTTAATTTTAAACTTGATAGGTAGGTAATTATGTATATTTAGGGTTGTTTAAAATTTTGCCAACACGCATTGAACCGACGATATCGAGTCAACTGTCTCTACCATTACTGTTAGATAGGCATAGGCAGGTCTGGTGGCCTATATAAGAAGAAAAATATGGGTGGGGGCCTATTTAATATAGGTATACGATAATTAAACTACGCTTAAAAAACCGACTTCGGCCCCTTTTTTATTGAAGAACCTTTTTTAATCATTAATTACCTAATATACTTACAAAAACTCAAAACACTTTTCTGAAAATCGCACCAAAATTGGATCAGCCAATCGCGAGAAAATCGCGCAGAATACGTGCATACTTTAATATTTCTGTGCATAGGTATCTACAGGTCAAACTGAGAACCTTTTCATTTTTAAAGTCAGTTAACAATTAACTCACCGGTAGAACATTCGAGTATTGGATCTTGGTTTTGAATTTTTGATTCCCGTATCGGGCCAAATATAGGTAGCTCTATAAAATAATGGCACTTAAAAAAAACTATTTATGCAGATGATTTCGATTGTAATACTTACGTCCCCAAGTCCACAATATTGATCAAAGGCACTGAATTGTTTCCTCGACCTAGGATAGGAAGAATCGGTTCACACTCCCATGCTTTTTGAAACCAGAAGAAAAGCACGTCTTCCTTGCCTCCATAGGTCAGTCCAGAGGCTACTACTATTGCTCTGTGTAATAAATAACATGTAACTAAAGATGTTGGGTTTATGGTTTATGATTTTTAAAAGATTAAATAAAATTTTAAGTCGTTATTTTTCTGTGACTGAACAATTTGTTTCAGTAGAACAATGAAACTTACCCTATAAGTTTTCTATATTTTCTAGCTATGCCAATAACTTCATTTTCTACGTCATAATGCATTTTATAATTAGGATGCGGCCTCCTTTTTCGAAAATCTGTTTCTACAAAAGGCATTTCAGGATTATCCTGAAAAAATATAGGTATCTTATTACCTAGTAGTACAATGAGAAGGTAGTTAGGAACCTCAAGTGTGGGAGAGCCACGAATAGGCCGGCTCAACCGAAGTAATGGCACGGCCTCACAGAAAACCAACGTGAAACAATACTTGCCTTGTTTCGTCGTGTGAGTGATGTAACCGGAGGCCCTAATTTCCCCGATCCTCGAATCCCCAATAATCCTTAAATTCCTAACCCGAAAAGGCCGGTAACGCACTTGTTAACACCTCTGGTGTTTCGGGTGTCCATGGGCCGCACCGACTACTTACCGTCAGGTGATCCGTATGCTCGTTTACCAGCTTGTTCCATAAAAATGGCCCGCCTAGCGGTATTGAAGTATAGGTATACCTATTTTACAAAGCAGTTTGTTTCTAGTCGTACCTACCTAGATTTTTAGTCCATGTTCATCAGTAGAACAGAACGGGCCGTCACCTATCATTTCTCATACTATTATGAAAACTGAAGAGTTTGTTTGTTTGAGCGCGCTAATCTCAGAAACTACTAGTCCAATTTGGAAAAAATATTTTATTGTTGGATAGTCCATTTATCAGCTAGCATGCTATAAACCATTTCGAACCGCCTCGTCGCGCACCTGACGGATATTGGGCCGGACCTATCGGACGGCCAGTTCGGCTTCCGCAGAGGGCGCTCCACGGTGGACGCCATCATGCGCGTTAGGGACCGGACGACGGGGACTGCAGTGTCCAGGGGTAAGGTCGTAGTGGCGGTGTCTCTGGACATCGCCAACGCCTTCAACTCCCTGCCCTGGAGCTGCATCTTGGAGGCACTCCGATATCATCGGGTGCCTACCTACCTCCGTCGTGTAATCGAGGCATACCTGACGGACAGGTCCGTCATCTACCCCGGTCACCGGGGCGAGTGGAACCGGCGAGAGATGTCACGCGGTGTTCCACAGGGTTCGGTTCTGGGGCCGCTCCTGTGGAACATCGGTTATGACTGGGTGTTGCGCACCGACCTCCCGAACGGCGTTAGCATGATATGCTACGCCGACGACACGCTGGTGCTAGCGCACGGGAGGTCGCACCAGGCGGCGGCCGATTTAATGGCGACAGCGGTTGCGACAGTCGTTGAGAGAATCCGGCAGTTGGGACTCGAGGTGGCGCTCCACAAGTCCGAGGCCATGTGTTTTCATGGCCGCGGGAATGCGCCACCTCCTGGTGGGTCTCAAATAATGGCGGGAGGGGTTACCATCGGCGTCGAGACGGCGATGAAGTACCTGGGACTCGTCCTCGACAGTCGATGGAACTTCGTGGAGCACTTCCGACGTTTGGCTCCAAAGTTGGCGAGGGTGGGGGCTGCGTTTAAGCGCATCCTCCCCAACCTCGGGGGCCAAACGCCTCCTGCCGGAGGTTATACGCCGGGGTCGTGCGGTCCATGGCCCTCTACGGCGCCCCTGTTTGGGCGCCGAACCTGCTGCAGCGGCCCGCTCGGGCGCTGCTTATGGCACAGAGGGTCATGGCGATCCGAATGATCCGCGGATACCGCACGATCTCTGGGGAGTCGGCGAACCTCCTTGCCGGATTACCGCCGTGGGATCTGGAGGCGAAGGTGCTCGCGCGCGTGTATCGCATGCGCGCGGAGGCACGTCGCCGGGGCGAAACTCCGCTGCCGCGCCAGATAAGTGCGTGGCGGGATGAGCTCCGGCGCGATCTCATGGCGGAATGGCAGCAACGACTGTCGCAACCGAGGGCTGGGCTCGCTGCCATTGCAGCGGTAAGTCCCCTCTTTGAGGAGTGGCTTGAGAGACGCTACGGCGTCCTCACCTATCGCCTGACGCAGGTCCTCACCGGACATGGAAGTTTCGGGAGGTACCTGTGTCTGATGGGGCGGGAGGAAACGCCCGGGTGTCATCACTGCGAGGACCACCCTGAGGACACGGTGGAACACACTGTTGCGGAATGCCCTGCGTGGGCTGAGCACCGCCGTGCCCTCAGGGAAGTGATCGGCGATGGAGACCTCTCGCGTCCGGGCCTAGTTCAGGCCATGATGCGGAGCGAGGGGGACTGGGATGCCGTCTCCTCCTTTTGCGAAGCAGTCATGCTGGCTAAGGAGGAGGCGGGACGCGTGAGGCAGCGAAGCGCTGCCTCCTCGCAACCCAGCCATCGCGAAGGACACACCGGGCGTCGGGGATCGCGGGACGATCTCCGGCCACCGTAAGCGCGGGCCTGCGGACGGCGAGCATGGGTGGCTCCCCGTCCGACCAGAAACAGACCCGAGCGTACGGCGCGTCGAGTTCCGCGCGCGCCTCAAAGAGCCATCAGACCACCACAGATGGGGCCCAATAGGGCCGATGCTGATTCGGAGTCGCGGAGAACCTAACGGGTAACCGGGGCTCCGGCTCGACGTGCAGGAGAAGGAACGGGGTGGTTTTTAGTCAGTAAGAGTCTGACACTCCCTTCCGCCTCACCCAGGCGGGAGCAGTCATTCGATGATTTTCCCCCCTTAAAAAAAAAAAAAAAAAAAAGCATGCTATAAACAACATAGGAACTGAGCAGGGCGAAAACGCGCGGGAGTAGCTAGTAGAACATAACGTATAACATGTTGGTCTAGGTAAGGATGCCTTAGTACGAGTTTGTTTACCGTTTTAAGTAATCGAAACGAGTACGCGTTCGACGCTCTGATTGGGCGGCTCCAATGAACCAACCAATCAGAGCGCCGAATGCGTAGGTACCTACTCGTTTCGATTAACATAATAACATAACATAACATCACGCCTTTTATCCCCGAAGGGGTAGGCAGAGGTGCACATAGAAGTAACACCCACTTTTTCACTATTAATGTTATGAGTACCATGTAATAGGGGGTGAGCCTATTGCCATATACCGGGCACATTTCCAGACTCCGTGCTACTACTGAGATTTTTAAAAAACCCCAGTAATACTTTGCCCGACCCGGGAATCGAACCCGAGACCCCTTGCCCGGCAGTCGCACTTGCGACCACTCGGCCAATGAGGCAGATTACTTTAAACATAAAACAATATGTAGTACCTACTCGTACTAAGGCCTCAGATGAGGGGCCGTATCTACTTATAGCGACTCGTTATTTCAGATAGCTTTTCTTACCGGATCTAAGGGTTTGGTGGAAGCCCAAGTCATAACAGTGGATATTAATATTAAATAGCGTTTTTTGAAGTCAGGGGCGGTAACGACGCTAGGCTCACCGGCATCGTCATCTGCCGGTGCTTGTTTTTCTAGCAACTCCTTCAGTACTGAAAATAAAACGGGTAAGTTATCAGCGAAGGTCCCTTCGAAAGCCCACTACAGTGCCATTGTCTCAACGATAAAAATCGGCTCTATGTACAAACTGAAAGTCATCAAATCTTAAATTCTTTGCTGAACCTATACTTAGGTAATTATGGTAAGCAGTGTTGTTTGGTCATCTTGTGGCTCAATTGATAATGATAATGTTTTATACAGGGTGTCCTCCAGATATGGAACAGCTTACGTCCTTACCTGTCATATATTCCATTGCCAATTTAAGTTCTCTCTATCGATACTAATGTCGAGTACGACTGTGCCACATGTCAGCATTTGTCGTATGCTATCTTCTTTTGTTACGATCCTCGTAAGTTTCTCCAAACCCTTCGTATTTTCATTAACAACAGTCCCTATGTAGATTTTAAAAGAATTAGTTTTGCTTAAGATAGGTCATACCTAAACTGTATTTGTTTAAAAATACCTCGATTAGGATGTCTCTGGTTCAATCGCCATGTCGTGCGTGGCTATAAAAAGGCACCTACCTATGTATGTATCATCGGGACAAGTCAAGTGGTTTAGGTAAGCCCTAAGTCGGTACTATGTGGGTATCATTCCCAGATATCCTAGTTTATAGGTACCCAGAAACATAAATCTTCCAAAAATAATAGACATTAAACTGCCTCGTTGTTCGAGGGGCCACAGGCGCGACAGGGAATTTTAGTTATTAGTTCAAATCTCGGTATAAAGTACCTACTAAGAATAGGGCTTTTTATCCAGTTTAAGATCCACTAACAGGTACAGGGATTCGTAACTGGTGAAGTGGTTCCTACATTTAATTTATGCACCTCGCATCACCTCTGCTTACTCCTTTAGGAAATAAAATGTGAAATTAAGTACTAAGTGTCGAAATGCACGATAAAAAGTATAGGAAGTCTTTTACGAACGTTTAACGTCGAAAAGTGGATTGTAAAATGTAGGTACAGCTAACCATTCATTTCTAGAATACTAAAAAATGTTTGTTGCCTACCAATAATTTCGTATGGCTGCTCAGGCGGAGGGGGCTCTACAACTCCCATATCTTCCCCAAGAAGCGATTGAGAGGTATTTCGAGATGATGATGGTAGTGGTACAATATCTTTTTCGAACACCTTCGCCACTTCTTGCAAGAAATAGTCTCCATGGTACGAATCAACGTTATTTATAAAATATCTCTTGGGAGAATACAGTGTAGTTAAATCTACCGACGATTTGTCTGAAGACAGTTTCTCTGTTGATTTCTTCATAATTATTTTGAAATATTCGATTCAATCACAGATAACTATTTGTGTTCTTCAGCGGTGCATTTGACATTATGACATAATCAGTGACGTATCGACAACCATAAAGAAAAAGTATTTAAAAATATATTTAAGTCTGAAAATATAAGGTTCGTACCTACCTGAAGTCAGTGGCTTTACAATCTTTATGGTATTACGAGCTACTTCCGCGTGGTTTCACATGCTCTGCTCAGTTCCTATTGGTCGTAGCGTGATGTTTTATAGCCTATAATAGCCAACCTCGACAAATGCGCTATCCAACACAAAAAAATATTCAAATCAGACTTGTAGTTACGGAGATTAGCGCGTTCAAACAAAAAACAAACTCTTCCGCTTTATATAATATAGTATAAGAAATAAGATGACTCAAAGTACTATGGTAGGGATGGAAGCAGGCACCTTTTGAGATAGGATAATGGACTTTTAAATAGGCCTAGATAAGGTTTTTTCAATAAACATACGCAGATAAAGTAAAATAAATATTTTATTATAATTCCAATATATTGTATTGTAGATGATGTAAAATAATACGAACAATTAACAGAAATATAATGTAGCTACAAGTATACGTAAATTTTGTCTTAAATCTAAAATATAACCAGTATATAACTTAACAAACATTGCTAAAATATAATAAAATGTCATTAAAAATTCAAAGGACGATTAAAATTGCGAAGTACCTAAATTAAAACTCTAATAAAGGCCGATGTGTGCCTCCTCTCACTAAAATTAATCAATGCATCGAAAGAACTTATAAGTTCTAGAACTAAAATAAAACGGAACTTAGAAGTTCCCGTTGTCTACATGTAACATTCTAGCAATTAAGCACTCGTTGAATTAAGGCCAATTTCGCGAGTTGCTCGCTACAAAACCTACATTAAATTTATTTAAAATCCAAGTATAATTAAGTACTTTAAGTTACAATTTAAGTACTGCTCTTAAGATCTACATTGAATTAATACATTTCGATATGATTGTCCGACTTATTTCATAAATGTTAATAAAATAACATGTGTCACAATATAAGTAATAGACACTTTCAATAAACGATAAAATTAATGTATTTTTTTATTACTGAGAGATAAAATTATTATAATACTCATATTAAAAATATATCGTTGGCCATAAGGTTGTGACTGCTTTGTACAAATAATTGCAGATGTAACCGAGTCATTATTATTATTCGCAGAGATTCTATACATACATATGAATAATATTAACCGGTAATTATAAATTGTTCCCAAGCACCTTGTTATATCCGTTAATTGGCACGTTATTTGTATTATGAAAGTTTTTATAATAACGATCACCGTAAACTGTACTGTGGGCTTAGTACGAGTTGTTTTACGTTTAAAGTAATCGAAACGAGTACGCGTTCGACGCTGTGATTGGGTGATTCATTGGAGCCGGCCAATCAGAGCGCCGAACACATACTCGTATCGACTATTTTAAATGTAAAAAAAAACTCGTACCAAGCCTGTCTTAATCAACGTAAGTACTTTGATAAACAAAAATATACTTTGTAATGTAACATAAGCTTAAAAATATATATGGACTTATTATTATTGTATCTAGATTGAACTTCATATTGTATGTAGGTGACGAATACATTAAAATTAAACAAATCAATTCCATAAATTATGTTATGTCATGAATAAAACAGCGTTTCTCGAACGTTCGAATATACAGCAGAATAGAAGACTTGTTGGCACTTGTATAGGTACTATTATGAATTGATATTATGGTACTTTAATAATCGCCCATACAAATAAAATAATATTAGTTTCATGTTATAAAATCTAGTCAAATCCATACGAATAACCGTAATTATTTCGAATACAGGCATAAAATACGTTAAATGATAGAAAACTAAACATGAAAATATGATTTTAAATGGGTGATAAAAAATTTGATGCAATGTGACTTTGAGAGTATAATTGAATGGCAATTTATTCGACTATGGCACCTCCTCCAAGTCCTTTCATTCGTTTTGTAATACTGATATGTCGTACTTATGCTAAAAGGCGTTACAGACTTACAGAATTATTGTTAATAAGGACGGCATCATAAATACTACTAGTAAAATATTACAATCGAGTGCATATTTTAAACCGAGAAGTGTTATCCGTTCTGTTTTGAACAGCTATAGATCAAAGTACATTACCTATAAAAAGATATATGATATTGAAAATAATATAAATGTATAGCCAGGGACACGAAACCTGATACTGAGAAAGCACATGTGTATAAAAATGTAAATAGGTACAATGATAGACACAGCTTTAGAATATTTGAATAACATCATGAAACACGTAATATATTTAATATTATTCTTATGTAAGAATAAATTATATATTTTCAATACAAGAGAGCTGCCTAATGTGACAAATACCTACCTTGGTATTTGTCACAATGTAAGTATTGTAACCTTGAACAACCTCATCTCCATTTTAGATCTCTCTCTGGATCAACTTTCGTGTCGTGTCAGACTTAACTATAGGAATGTACAGGAAATTCATATTTAAGTACAAAAATAAATTCTATTATAATGTAAGCTAAGACACGTTTTCAAAAAAAATAGAAGCACTCATATTTCTAAATATTTGCTGAGTGCGACAGTGAAGTACGCATGGAAAAATACAAGGACATAAAAAGTATCGATATCTACTTAGTACACCCAAGCGGAATGAAACCAGACGACCCATTATTATTTATCATATTGTGGTAATAAGGCATCATCTCGCTTTAGGTTTCCGTCGAAACTTTGAAAGCGAAAATTTATACTAAGCAAGGAATGTTTATTCTCAAGTGCTTTGGACGGTTCTAATATAGACGGACGAACTAGTTTAGCTGACGACAAAACTAGTTTTCCGAAAATCAGTTGCACTTATGTTGACATAATACCTAATGCTGCGTCAATAAACTTTGTAGAAAAATATTGGAGATCACTGCTATAATACATTGCTACCAATGTTCTTTTTTTCGATTAACTACATTGATTCATTACTAAATCTACGAATAGGCGATTTTAAGGCACTAAATAATAATTTCATTATTTTAAAAGCAAAACATGGAATATTACTCTATATTGTCATTTTTTTAAAGAATTTTGTCATAATATTTGACTCAATACAACTACAATTGTGTAGTGATAACGGACTTACGATGGATTATTGTGATTTCCTTCTCTCCGATCCCGGATGGTGAGCTTGGTTCAGAAGACACAAGCCAGGGAGAAAGGGATGATATAGGTTGCACCTTGGGAGTTACATCTTCCTTTTTCTCAACTGGTTTTGGTGACGCTAATTTTGCTTGATTATGAGGAGGTTCCACTACCACAATTGACACATATTGAGAGTTGATGGGATTTGTAGGTTCATTTAATATTTTCGGTGAAGGTGTAGATGGTATGGCCAAGTTAATGTTAGTAGACTCATTTATGACCTTCACTTCATTTTCTCTGGCTTTCAAAATATTATTACACTTTAGTTGTCCTGGTGGTAGAGCCTTAGTAGAAGAGAGGTAGCATTTTGTCTGATTGTTGGGTACTTCCTTGTCATTTGCAGAATCCAACTGATCTCTCTTTGCTTCATTTTTAGAATCATCATTATTGAGTTTTTCTTTAACCAAACTCATAAGGAGATCATTCAGTGGGTTTGATTCATTAACAGGCGAACAACTGCAGGCTGGCTTGTTGATAACAAGTTGAGTTAAATTGTTCTTCTTATCTTCATTTAGGGATTTGTCCATTTTGAATAGCACCTTGTTGCTTATAGCGTCATCTTTCGATATCAACACTTCTTCAGTTGGTTCTTCATTGAGAAGGTTCTTGGTAGATGGCTCACCAATCTCAGGTTTAATCTCAGCATCAATAAGAGATGACTTCTGAGATTTAGCACTGCTCTTTCTAGATAATGTATCAACATCAGGCAACAAGACTGCTGTATCAGACGATGTGCTAGGCATTTCGTTAGCTGGTTCAGGCGGGGCAGCCTCTGGTTTGACTACATTCTGTTTTTCTCGTTCCCTCAGAACGTGACTTTGTCGTCGAGCAAACCTTTGACTTGGTCGTCTTTCAAATTGTACAGTGCGTCGGGCGCGGTTTTGCTGTGTAGTCTGGTACTCCGTTTTTCCGGAATACTGGAATCGAGAGCCCATTCGGAAGAAGTTTTGTCGAGCTGATGGACCTTTCACTGGTGCTCTCAAGCGGAAGAAGGTGTGGTGTTCCACAGCACATTTCCAAAGGTGTTTACATGCTTTTTCATTATGCAACCTGAACACAAATGTATGCTCTTGTTCCCGACCTTGGTCATCATCTTCCACCACAACAAGTGTAAGTTTCTTTTTCTTAAAATCAAGCTTGCTTATCTTGGGCCAGAAAAATAAACCAATTTTTTGAGGTCCTTCAAAGACAAGTATGCCTGTAGGTGTCAATCCCAAATGATATTCACAGCCATCTTTACCCAAAACAATGTGCATGTCAACACCATACATTTCAAGCCATTTTGCTTTGTTCAAATAATTGACTTCAGCTTGTGCCGGCGTTAGTCCTTTACATTTTTTATATTCTTCCAATATTTCAATTTCCATCTCTTCTGTTTGGTTAGGCACAAACCTAAACTCTGACACAGTTGCAGGAGTGTGAACATTTTCATCAAAGTCACCGAGCTCTGATTGCAAAGCTAGTGCTGCTAGTTCAACTGCAGTGGAGTGTGGACACTCAAGTTTGCTTTCTAAAATGTCTTTTTTCAATTGTAAAAAGAACTGATATCTAGTTAGTTCTTCTCTCAAGTTGTTGGGCTCAGAAGAATAAAACTTCACTTTAAGTCGTAGAGTGTAAGGTGGTCCTATTTTCACTTGTTTTTTAATAGTTTTAGTGGGATCCAACCAATGTTTAACATTATGGGTGTCAGTGAATTGCAATCCAAAGTAGTCTTTTTCTATCAAATCTAAAGAATAAAATACTTGTTCATAAAGGTCATTGGCACTGGCCTTCTTAGATAAGTTTATAGACAAATCTGTGTCATCAAGTAATAGAACTTTGCATTGTATTAAATTTTTGTTGCTTGATGCCTTCTGGGTTTGTTTATTGCGATTTTGGCTCGACGAACGCCCCCTTCGGCTCAGAAAGCGCAACATCCTTAACTGGATGAGTTCTGAAAATATAGAAAACACTAAATTGTAAATATACTGGTAAAGGAGATTGCAAAATTAACGCTTTGTAAATTTGCTTTACCAGAGGTAACTGTCCAATAGTTAGTTCAACTCATTTGCAAACTTAATTGAATTAAGAAACAATGTGTATTTTGTCAATACTTACAGCTTTACGCTACTTTCAAAGCTAGTTTACTGAAGTAAGAGGAAGATATGCTACGTGTTTGTATATACATACAGAATGATCTCAAAAGTTGCAAACAAGTTTATCAGTTGATTTTGACATCATTTCAATTAAAGTTTTACAGTAAAAGCAACTTACGGAATCCAACTGTTTCTGTATTCAACAACTCAACAAGAAAACGCACCCACTAAAACATACGATATTTTATTTATTTTTCTCAATAAATCTCAAATATATTGTACTCAACAAGTGAACAGCACGCCTACAAAGTTACAAACTATGTTTTTAACAGATAATATCTAGGTATTTGATGAAACAACACGCCAGCCAGCGCCACCCTGTCGTCATTTCGTAAAGTTCACAAATTAATTAACCAAACTGGCAACAATTAACATTAAGCAATGTACTTATTCACGGTTATCTTTCCTCGACCATGATTTTCCCAGCAGCAATACCTGATTAAAAATAAAATCATAAACAATTTTATGGTTTGTACAAGCCTTATTAAAAGTTTAAAATAAAATGCATATTACTTTTATGTTTTTACTGGTTTTTACTGACTTTTTAAGTGTATGATTTTATTGTACAAAAAAAAATTGATCACAAAATGTAAAGAACTAACTATAAATATTTATAATTAATATAAATTATAATTAATACAAATTATATTTTGTTTGAACCAATGTAATTTTCATTGGATTGTGACAGGGTTGTACGTTAAAATTTACAATACGGCAACACTCACGATACATTGTGAACGGGGGGAAGGGAGAAACATTTTTGAAGGGAATCAAGATTTGTCGTAGAATCCTTCTGTCATTTTGAGCAGGTTAAAACAATAAAGTGGGTACGAAATTGTCCAGAAAGTTACAAAAAACAAGAAATAAACCGTAAGTACATGTAATTGTATTTATAAGCAACCGTTTTAGCAAGATAGGTAATATGTGTTCACGTTTTATAACCAACAAAAAGTTTTATGACAGGTTTTAAGATTTCGCTTCGGCAGGCTGCTGTCGTCATTACATTATTTTCGTTATCTATCCTCCTAGCGTAATTACACTGTTTGTTACTAGCATTTTTCGTTTCTATAATCATCGATAGATCAAGTAAATACAACGTAAAATATTCCTCATTGAAATCATCTGTGTTCCTTCTAAGTATAACATAATTTTGTAATTGTATTCCCCATAGTGGTTAGGAATGTATGTGCATGCAAAATTGGTCTGGAGGAAATCCCGACATAAATAATTCATTGTTTTACTTGCAATATCATTGTAATCACGATATAGAAGAAATTACCATGATTTACATTTAAAATGCCCTATTCCTTTAAATCACTGGATTTGTTTATTATTTCATTTATTACATAGATGATCTAACACCAATGCAATTGAGAATGAGTTTATATTTCAGATAGTAGTGTATTATAATCAAGTATAAGCTTTCTGAAATGTTAAACATGCAGTATTAGAATCTTTCTTATATTCCAGATGCCTGTTGCTGATGAAATCCAGTCCTCATGGGCTGATGAGGTAGAGATCGATCAGGGAGCACTGCCTCCTCCATCCGAAGTAGTTGAAAATGGATTGAAAATTGTAACAGAATATAAATATGACAATGACAACAAGAAGGTTAAGATTGTCCGTACTTACAAAATTGAGAAACGTGTGGTTTCTAAGGTAAGTGAATTTTCTTCGATGTCCATATCATTCACATATACAGTGAGACTCAGGGACCAGAACTTATTTGAAATTGAATTGTGATTGTAACTATTGTATATGATATCACTAGACTTGCTGTGATTATTAAAGTGTTTTGGTATTATTTTTGTATATTATACATACGCTGTGTTTCTCAAATTAAAGTTCTGAACTATCTTTCTATCTGTTATCTTTCTGATATTGTTACAGTATAGTATACAATTAAACTAATACACAGCTAGTGTATTAAATGCTATTTTTATTATTATTTAATAATTCTAATATAGATTGGAATTGTTTGACATTTACATATTATTTGTTTTAGGACATCGCTAAGCGTAAAACTTGGAGCAAATTTGGTGACTCCGCCAACGACAAACCTGGTCCAAACCCTGCTACTACTAATGTAGCTGAAGATGTGTACATGCAGTTCATTACCAGCAAAGAGGAAAGCCAACGCCCTGATGATGGCGAACTTGATGGACTTAAGGTACGCATAGCGTAAAAGTCTTGGAGGAATTGAGACGACTTGTCTTTTTAAAGCCTAATTTTTTCCTTTATTTCTAGTAGTATCATAATTATAATTTTTTAAAAGAAGTATTTTAACGGGAATAATCTATTATTTCAGCCCCAAAGCAGCAGTGTGATCTTCAAGTGCAGAACCTGTCAAGGAGACCATTGGACCTTGAGCTGTCCATTCAAGCACACCCAACTGGCTCAAACCAAAGCGAATGAAGCCGCTAAAGCTGCAGGTAACTTACATTATTATAAATTAAACATATTTATTTACATAATTTATTGAGAATTAAAAGTCAATTATGTCCATAATAGTCGAAATTCTGAAATTGGAACTGGCTGAATTAGTGTATAAGAAAGTCATGCTCATCTGTCATTCATACCTATTGTGATTGTAAAATCAAAGGTCAGGATCTAGACTGAAGCAATAAATATGTTTAGTATTTGTTTGACAAACAAACTTATATTAGTGATTGTATTGTAATGTATTCATAACATGGAATGTGTCCATTAATATTTTGGTTTTATATTGTTACTTTATTAGCCACAAGATCTCCACTGAACATAGGCATTATTTATATATAATATTATATGTTGATTTTTCAGACTCAAAAACCACCCCAACCAACAAATACGTGGCGCCGTTCATGCGCGAGGGTGGTGCTGGCCGTGGTACAGGGCGCGAGCCGCCAGGTGCCCGCCGCGATGACGTCGCTGCTATCCGTATTTCCAACCTTAGTAACTTCGCGGTCGAAGCTGATCTTGACGACCTCGTCAAGGGTTTCGGTCCCGTACAGAAGTTGTATCTCGCCAAGGAGAAGGTAATTAGCATGATAATTTATTCAATGCAATATACAACTATAACATATCGATACACAATCTAAGAAAGTCTATCAATAAAAGAAAGTTGTGTTAGTTACACTATTTTTAACTCAAGAACGCCTAAATCTATTTGGATGAAAATCGGTGGGGAGGTAGATTAAAACCAGGAGATTTTATACAATACATTTTTTACTTTTTACTGAAAATCACGAACGTGAACGAGAAAAAATGGGATTACGCGTACGAAGTCGCGGGCAGAAGCTAGATAGTTATAGATATGAATTAGTATGATGTCCTAATTGTTAGTTACTTAATTAATATTGTCGCAAAATAAAAAACTCATAGTTATTTTAACTGTCTTTACAACCCATTGTCTCACAGGTAATCTTACATAGATAAAAAATATTTTAAAGACTTTCATTTTAAATTTTCTTTTTCAGAGCACCGGACATTGCAAAGGTTTTGCCTATGTACACTTCAGGTTCCGTGCTGATGCTGCTAAGGCTATCCAGACACTTAATGGTCACGGTTATGATCACTTGATCCTCAACGTAGAATGGTCGAAGCCTCCTCAGAACAATTAATTAACATCAAAATTTCCATATTGTATTGTATACTTGTAATAAATTTCTAAAAAGATACATAATTGTTTTATTTATCCTATTCTTATTAAAATTACTAAAATGAAAAAGCAGGCACTACATGATGTTAGCTATTGTTAATTGATGGCACGGAAGGTGCGGTGGTTGGATAACCGGCTGCCGCGCAACGTGTCGCGGGTTTGATTCCCACACAGAGCAACTCTTAGTATGATCCACAAATCGTTGTTTCGGGTCTGGGTGTCATGTGTATGAGATCTTGTATGTTTGTAAACGCACCCACGACAAAGAAGAAAATCCGAGTGTGGGACCATCTTTAAAAAAATCACTTTTAATGATAAAATTATAAATAAATAAAGGAAGACTGGTGAATGGGAACCCCATTGATATAGTAATTTTGTTGGATGGCATTTCCCCTAGCTTTTTATATTCCATGATAAAAACAATGGTAACTATTATCACATTAAACTACCATTAAGATTCAGGAGGATAGGGTCAAGGATTGTGGCTGGCCTGGTGTATTGTAAACGGATTGTTCCCTTTTGTATTAAGAGTGATGTTGCCAGTAGTTATATAGGTAGGGCTGGAGGGGTTTTCAGCTTACTTGCTAAAACAGACAGTTCTGAAATATGGATTCAGGATATTAAAGACACTGTAGGTGTACTATATAAATAGGCATACCTTGTTCTACTTTAAAGGATAATTTCAGTTGTGAACTTACGCACTTCAGGGGCTAATGTCATCACCCTGTAAATGTCCTACTGTTGGGTTTATACCGCACTTTCTGAAGGTGGAATGATAACTTCAATCTAATTGTAATTATAATTCCACTAGTTTCCAATGCAGGAGGAATATATACATGTCAAATTGATTGCTCAACAATAATTAATTTCAAAAAGCATACTCAAGATATGAAAATAAAATTCAGAGATGAAGTTATTCAATATTTAATCAAAGCACTTAGTGAGAGACTAGACAGACTTCGAAAGACACAACATCAACATGCTAGAAGGTGCATCATATAACATAACATGTAAGACTTAACCACTACCAAATATGCATAAAAGTAAATATACAATGTATTAATTTGATAATCAGAAGAGCAATAACACAAATCATTTAAATATCAATATCATACTTCTCATCATCACTGTTAGGGGTATATGTCTCATCAGGGAGCTGCACCTCACCACAAAACATAAGTTCCACATAATGAAAATAATCTAAAGCAATATTAGTAAGCATAGCTCCAGTAGTAATACCTAACACAGTGCCTATGACTGGCCTTTGACCTACTGAACTTCTGAGTATGGCCCATAAGAAAATAGATCCAAGAGGCCATAAACAGCCACCTAAAAATGCCCAAGAAAAACGCCTAGCTGGTGCCGCAGCTGCCATGTGTGGTCTTGCCCAGAGCCAGAGTCCTGCACCACCACCCGCAGTTAAAAATAAAACATCTGTTACATCTCTCTGCGGAAACAACCTGTAACAAATAAATTATCACTTAAAAGTTGCTTAAATGAACTCATAATGCAAATTAATGATGTCATTATTTTTAATGTTTACATACCTGACCATTAGGTGAGGGTTCATTACACTTACTGACAAAGTTGTGTAACTAACCAGACCTTGTAATGGTAAATAATAGTACAGTACATTGTCCTTAGTAAAAGGTGGCAACCTCACATTCGACACTGATTTGTTCAGAAGATCAACAGTTTTTGGTACTGATCCTGACCAATTTATAACTTGCTGTCGAACGTTCCGGTAAATCTTCTCCAGAATATCCATTTTGATACAAAACGAACTATGAGATCAAAACAATTTGCACTCTATCTATACTAATGCAACGTTAATAAGGTTACGTCGCTGCACATTATTTGGCAACAGCTAAGGTTTGTGAAGTTATTTATACTATAATTTTATTCATTATATACTTGCACCGCAAAGAAAAGGTGATTGCAAAATGCAAACACAGACAGACAGATTGCAATGGAAATGAAAGCTACATCCATAATGACATGTGACAGATGTCAATAGTGTTGTACTGTTATAAAATTAAGGATCATTAGTATTTGTAAGAGCATTTATTGATATTAAATCGGAAGTAGATTAAAATATAAATGAAAAAAATTTAATCAATTTAACATAATTTTAGATAAGCATTAAGATTATGGTAATGATAAAGTATTAGTTATAGTATTAACCACGATATGATGGAACAAATATTCTGTAGATAACTTCATTATATAAATTCTAATTTGTCCGAAGGTATGTATGTTCTGTGCGTGAAATAAAGAAAACGTTAGGCTTGTTGAAAGTAGCCTAAATACATTTTTAACAAGGTTACACGGTGCATATAGCACACAAGTTACTTTTTTATTGTATATTGAAAACAAAACTACATCACCACATGTCACATGACTTAGTGATTACCTCGTTGGTTCAGCGCGAAATTCAAATAAAAGGATTGATACGTCGTGGGTTCGAGTTCTAGGTCCTGCACTGAGCAACCTTTTTTGGAATGGATATTATGGACCTATTTTAGATATGGATGAGATGTGTGTAAAATTGGTTTGTACATAATATAATAAATGCATCAACAACATATTATGTAAGAGCTACAATGTGTGGCAGTAAGGATGTCTCTTGTAAGGGTTTATGAATAAAGAGTACTCAGTTTGCTTAATTGCTTGCTTTTATTTTGATTAATTTGGTGGAAATTTTAGCTTCTTTAACTTTATCTATTAAACTTTCTCCTATAGGACTAGTTGCTTCTATATCTAAAGTGCTGAAATCAGTTGTAATATCCAGACCTTTCTCCACTTTTCTAAGCCATTCCAAGCTATCATAACCCCATTATCAGTACATAACTTTGGAAATGGTCTATAAATGTTATAATTAGTTTCGTTGCATAACATTTGTAAAGCACTGAAAATATAATTATTACATGCTACACCACCGGACACAACAAGTTGTTTTCTATCTTCTGGTATTAAATTATTATCTTTACAAAATTCCATAGCTCTCTGTGTTCTGTGAATAAGATGTCTGGTGGTAGCCATCAGCATAGCTGCACATAAGTCATTCACCTCAGGTATTAGTTCATGAGCTACAATCTTGTGTTCTTGTTCTTTTTTGTACAAATGGTACATAACTGATGTTTTAAGACCATTAAAACTGAAATTACAATCCCTGTATTCAGCTAAAGGTAAGGCAATTTTGAACATATTAGGATTTGTAGCTTTTGATGCAGCTGCCTCTACAGCTTGGCCTCCACATATTGTAGAATATTCAGGTACATTTCTCAATTTCATACTTCTAGCCACTTTATCAAAAACTTCTCCAGGAGCACAGTCCATGCTTTCTCCAAGTAATTGAAAGTGATCAACATCTTGTACAACAGCAAGGAGGCAGTGCCCTCCTGATATTAGTAGTACTAAAAATGGAAATTTGATATCATGATGCATTCTCGCCACAAGTGCATGAGCCTGCATGTGGTGTATGGGTATAATGGGTTTGTTAAATCGCCGACCCAGGTGTTTAGCATACTTCATTCCTATTACTAGACTGAGAGGTAGTCCTGGTTTCAAAGTAACTGCAATAGCTGAAATATCTTCCATTGATAGTTTGGCTTCCTCCAATGTTTTTGTAACAGTTGGTTCAATATGCATTCTATGTAAATCCTGTGCAATATCTGGTATGATACCTCCATTTCTCAAATGCATTAAATTTTGTGAATGACAAACTTCAGATAATATTTTACCATTTCTATTAATAATAGCACAACCAGTGTCGTCACACGACGTTTCAATACCAAGTATATTTATATTTGTGCTCTGGCGATTGCTAAAAGCTCTTGGTTTAAATAAATATTGTTTGCTTAATTTATTTACAAATTGTGAACACACTAAACGCTTTAATGTATTCATGATAGATAGTTTGTTTATTTCTTCTTTCTAAAATTAGATTATCTTTATTCAATCCCATTCACTTGGTAATCCATACGATTTCATTTAAATCTATAGTTAAACACTTCTGTTAACCAGATAGATAAACTGAAATCAATGTATTGAACATAATCTAATGTTTTGTATTACCTGTCTAGCATATAGTTTCTTTAATATCTTTATAACGATAAAAATAATACTATTTTCATGAAACATAACCTCAATAATTACAAAATTTTGTTTGACATGCTTGACATTGACATTTCATGACATTTGATGTTCTCCTGACCATAGACATAATAAGTAGAGAGGTGTTCACTTACCTAACAAGACCTACAAATTATTTGATGTCTACTGACATTCTGTGATGCCGAGACGCAAAGTTAAATTAAAGCAAATAAAGTTAAATGTAAATAAAATCTGTTACACGATACCTCGATTTTGCTGCCATAGAAACAAAATCGAGACATAAATCTGATTCGGGTTCGATTCCTGCAGAACAGCTCTGTGTGTGATTTACAAATTATTGTTCCGTAGCTAGAAGCGGTATGTAGAAGATAATAATATAGAAATATAGAAAAAGAAGTAGATGGAGCTGCGGAGGTGATAGATGTTGGTGGAACTTTACCTACGGATAAAGTTGTAGGTGGTTTTCTTTTCCTAATTCAATAGTTTTACATCTTAATAGGTCTCCTAAACAAAAATACACATAACTAACCAAATGCACTGCACAGGCTATACAGTTGGTACGGAGCTGAGTAAACCGATGTTTCGCCATTGGTACGACTCCTGTCCAGACAACATTCTTTATGTGATTCACAATTCCAGTTTTGGGTCTCACCGGATTCACGTTAGATTAGCATCACATATAAATCAATCTGTCTATAATATGATTATATGAATAACTAGCTTACTCGCGCAAACTTAGTACCGCTTAATTATTTTTTCTCATCTTTTAAATCTTCCCCGTACTTCCACGAACATTTGAAGACCAAAATTAACCAAATCAGTTCAGCCGTTTACGAGTTTTAGCGAGACTAACAAACGGAAATTCATTATAGAAGATTATTGTTTCACAAGCACGTAGAAAGGGATGGAGCAAAGAATGAGCACGGGATCTTGGGTCATCATGTCATCAAGCTGGGAAAAAATTGGGTAGCTAAATAATTAAATAAAATTTTTAGTACAAGCCTGGTTATCAGTGAATAACGATAGTCTCATATTTATTCACCATCATCATCATCATTATTATTTAATCAACCACAAGACGTCTAACTATAAATAACCTTTTGGGGATAAAACACACGGTGTTACTGTAGTAATTGTAAATAATGTTATGTCGACTAATGATCCAGATTTTAATTTCCAAATACGTTAGAATTTAGATTGATGCAGAACGGTAATTCCTAAAGTTAATTTAAAACACCTTTTGAGTCTATCTTGCCACATATTTACAATAGCTGGTTACGTACATAGTTGTAGGTATGTGTAATATGTACATATTAAGTATCCTTATCCCAGGTACAGGTAGGCAACATGCGCCGAGTAGCGAGCTTGTTTTGTTTATGTTATGTGCATAATTCCGCGGGGACGGGATCTTTTGTAATTCGATGATTTCGTTCCGTGGCGTCTTGCGATCTGGTAGCACGATACGGAGAATTGTAAAAAAATGTACAAGTCATCTAAAATATTTTCCAATCGTTTTAAATATGTGAATTTAGTGTCGAACGTAGCAAAGTATGGGAGTGATAAGACACAGAACTGTAATGTAAGGAGTTTTGAAGAAATCCCAGGACCTAAAAGTTATCCCATAATAGGGACGCTTCATCAATATGCACCTTTTATTGGTACGTGTCGATTTTATATCTGTTATATTTATGAAAGGTAGTTGATAGATAGGTAAGTACAATAACAACGTTGTAGGTGTGCTTAACCGCTCGAGCACCGATATGAGACACAATAGTAAATACATTGTGTATCGCGTGGATCCATGTTTAGACACACGAAAGGTTAAAAGAAGTGATAAATAACCAGTAGGTACCTGGAAAACTAGATAAGATTTTTTAAATTATTTTTTAAGTAGCTGACCTGGCAAACTGCGTACCTACTGCTTAATATTTTTGTCTCACCTTTTAAACCTTCCCTGAACTTCCACTAACCTTTTAAGATCAAAATTAACCAAATCAGTTCAGCCGCTCTCGAGTTTAAGCGAGACTAACGAACGGAAATTCATTTTTATTTATATAGATATATACTTATTTACTTTGAATAACATAACATCATAACGCCTTTAATTCCCGAAGGGGTAGGCAAAGGTGCACATTATGCCACTGTACAATGTAACACCCATTTTTTACTATTTATGGAGTCCCATGTAATAGGGGTGGAGCCTATTGCCATATACCCGGCACAATTACTTTGAATACTAAAATTAAATTCTTATGCCGTATTGGAGTAACGTTAATAATTGATGTTAAATTTGTATTTACCTAATTGGTGCGAACCGGATCACGAGGTACTTTTATATTTTACAATAGGTAGCTGGTAGGTTAGGTTGGTAGATTTGAACTTACTAGTAGTTAACTTTAACTTATCCCTCAGGTGACTACGATGTCGAAACTCTAGACAAAAATGCTTGGTTGAATTATCGCCGTTATGGCAGCCTTGTTCGTGAAACACCAGGCGTCAACGTCCTGCATGTTTATGATCCAGAAGATATAGAAACAGTATTCCGTCAAGATCATCGGTTCCCAGCAAGGAGAAGCCATATTGCGATGTACCACTATCGTATGAACAAACCTGATGTGTATAAAACTGGCGGATTACTGAGCACGTACGTATGGTATCTTATTTAGCATAGCTTTAATTTGTTAGTCAAAATATTTTGGTCGAAGTATGCTTTCAAAAACATCCATTATCAGCTTCTTTGTGCATAAAAGACTAGCTCTTTTATGCACAAAGAAGAGAATAGATAGGTACACATTTCTAGGTACTTAAATGAGTAACAAAACGCACAATTTAACTTAATTATGTTGTCAGTGCATTCTTAAAGGGTACGTCGGCATTATCGCTGACAACGATATCTTCAAAGCAACCTTTGGATCTATACAATTAGAACACTAGAAATTCTTTCTAATTGAATGATAAACATGACTATAGTTAATAATTATTACTTATACCTATTTACTTTGCTATTGCTGCTTATCATTATTAGGTTCCACACTATGAGATGACTATTGGTATATAATATACAACTGGCGAAAACGAGTGTTACATTAATATGCGCATGTTTGTTCTAACTTTCGAGAATCTATAGGAGCATATATTGTTGTCTCGCCATTATTCTATTTTAATAAAGAAATCTCAAAACATTTCAATTTAAGTAAAGAAGAGCATAGGCACTACATATTATAAGACCGATATCGCACTGATGTAGCCGTGTGGCTACCAGCGCTAATGGTCGCTTACCATCAGGTTTAGGTACTCTTTGGTATTCCATATAAGAAACGGAAAAATATTTTCAGAAACGGTGAAGAATGGTGGAGACTAAGGAGTACATTTCAAAAGAATTTCACCAGTCCGAAAAGTGTTAAAAGTCACATAGAAAGTACTGAGATTGTGATAAGAGAATTTATTAACTGGATAAAAGAAAGAAATGTATCGCACAATGAAGATCTTTTGCCGTATTTGAATAGATTGAATTTGGAAGGTAATTAATAAAATATTTACAGTACATAACTAAACATGGAATAAGCTAGTTTAATTAAGATTTGATTGCACTAACAGTATCTATGAAGTTCTTGTGAAATCATCAAGCTTAAGACCTTAAGTGCCATTGAACTATCGAAATATATTTTTAACCATAACGGTTAGCCGGAAAAATATATTTCGATAGATCCTTGGAGAAAAACAATTTAATTTAATATTTAAAAAAAAGAAAAGTTTTAATGGCTGAGAATTTAAGTTTAAAACAATATTCCTATTTTTCCAGTTATTGGTGTTGTAGCATTCAATGAGCGTTTTAGAAGCTTTTCTCCGGAAGAACAGGATCCGACGTCCAGAAGTAGCAAAACAATTGATGCGGCATTTGGTTCCAATTGTGGAATTATGAAACTCGATAAAGGATTTATGTGGAAGATCTTCCAAACTCCTGTTTATAAGAGACTTGCTGATTCACAAACGTATTTAGAAAAGTAAGTACGTGCCTCAACTGCTATCATAAAATATGGAATAATGTGCGTCCTATTGGTTGTGTACGGGACGAAGACCAAGTTTACTGCATTGTTGTTTTGTTTGTTTTTCATAGCAGATGTTTAATTTTCTTTCAATCTTTTGCAGGGTATCTACAGATATCTTATACAATCGAATTCATTATTTTGAACAACCTGAAGATGGCGACATTTCTTTGTTGGGATCTTTTCTAAAGCAGCCCAATGTGGACTTAAAGGACGTCATTGGAGTGATGGTTGATATTCTTATGGCTGCTATAGACACGGTAAATATCAATAACTCTCTATACTACTACATAATTATTATGCATGTTACGAAAACTTGGTATAAGTCGGTATCATGATGCTCGCACGTTGCATAGATGATCCTACTAATTAATGGATCATTATTGTTTTAAACAGATTTTTCACTATCATATTGCAGACGGCATATTCGACCAGCTTTGCTTTATATCATATTGGAAGAAATCCCGAAGTTCAGCAGAAAATGTTCGAAGAAATCTCCACTCTTCTGCCCACAAAAGATGCCAAAATAACTCCTGATATTTTATCAAAAGCAATTTACGTACGAGCTTGTCTCAAAGAAAGTTTGCGACTTAACCCTGTGTCGGTTGGCATTGGTCGTTTAACTCAAAAAGATTTCGTATTAAGGGATTATATAATTCCAGAAGGGGTAAGTATCAAAACGCTTGATGAGAAGCACCTAGTTTTTGAGTATAACTAGGTACTGAATAATATTTTTTTCCTTTTCCAGACAGTCATTGTAACTCAAAATTTTGTGGCTTCTCGAATGCCGCAGTATGTAAAGGATCCATTAAAATTCAAACCTGAACGGTGGATAAGAGACTCGGAGAGTTATGAAAACATTCATCCATTCCTGAGTTTGCCATTTGGTTTTGGACCACGGTCTTGTATAGCAAGGAGATTAGCAGAACAAAATATATGTATTTTCTTAATGCGGGTAAATATTTTTGTTTATATTAAAACAAATTTGTTCATTTTTGGACTAATCGTTTTCATGTTTAATTTATTTATTTTTGTTTTCAGTTAATTCGTGATTTTAACGTAACATGGATGGGTGAAGATCTTGGTATTAAAACCTTACTTATAAATAAACCAGACAAACCCGTCTCTTTATCATTTACTTCAAGAATCGTGTGATTACAAGAAATTATTTCAATAGATTTGTGTCAATATGTTGTGTCGTATGTACATATTGTGTATTTATTTTGATTGATGATGGTATGTCAATAAAATAATTAAAAGAAATATTTTTTATTATCTCATAATCAATGTACAATGCTTAAATAATGTATTTACAATTACAGTTAACTGGGTATTATTGAGTATTACAAAGGATTTGTAAACGGTTTTTAAGTTCGGAAACAGGTTTCTTGATGGATCTGTTTGGACTTACACGATTTTTTTCACAATATCGTGTGCATATGGAGTAGAAAGTATTACTTTACTATAATGTTTAGATTGTTCTTTCAGTGATAGATTGGGATACGGATTAGTGCGAAATCTATATGGACGCCCTTTAATTAACGTATTGTTCAAAGATTTAGGTTTAGGATGGATAGGTTGGATATAATTGGTCCATAATTAAAAACTTCCTGATTATTTGTGGGCACGGGAGCAAAACTAGGGTGTTCCGTTACGTGGTAAGAATTATCTTGAGAAACCTTGTCCAAAGCAGTTGAATTTGCAACACTTGGTTCTTTGTTGAGTTCTAGTCTTGTTCTTTCCTGGTTAGGTAACATTAATCCAGAGTCACCCATGATGACATCTTTATTGCCTTCTTCACTATTAATTAAAGGAAACTGTTCTGGTATAAAATATTCTGCCTTGTCTGATTCGAGAACTGGTTCTGTTATAATTGTTGGCTTAGGAGAATCAATGTACTCTATATATGTATTTTCCACAAGAACACAAGGCGCTTCACTAAAGGAGATCTTGGGGGCTCCAGGGATGATGAAACTTTCTGAGTTTTTTGACATATAATATGCTGGTTCTTTCATACCCGTACATGGATCGATTAATATTTCTTCCCCAACTGGGATATGTTCATCAAGTATAATAGTTTCTGGATCTGACGCAAACGCATCTGTATAGTCTTTTAACACAATAGGGTCTTTTGAATCAATTTCTTCAATGTATAGAGATGTCAAAGTTGATGCTTCTGTCATGGCTCTATCAAACTCTGGAAACATTTTTATAAGCTCTTCCAACATGTCTGGTTTTTGTAATAGAATGTCTTTAATAAGAAGAGCGACATTTTCTTTTGATATCGGTGATAAAGTCGGTGCGTCGGGAGTGATTGGATCGATTTTTGTAATTGGAGATAAAACACCTACAGGTTCCTCTAATATCACTGGTTTTACTAGCTCCATTTCTTCGCATGCCGCAGGCTTTTCAACTGCTGTTAAATTTGTGGTTTCGGGAATAACACCAACAGTTTTCTGTAATATTTCTTGTTCCACTATTTCCACTTCTTCAACAGCTGGCGCAATATCTTCTATTGATAGGGATGGTAAAGTCGGTGCATTCGGAATTTCCGTGATTTCTGTAGTTGCAGATAATGCCCTTACAGTTTCCTCTAATGGTATTGGTTCTACTTGTTCAATATCTTCAATTAGTGGAGACGGTATAGTGAATGATTCCAGACTTATTTCATCTACCTCTGCGATCAAAGACCAGACATCTGAAGGTTCTTCTAACATTACCGGTTCTACTAGTTCAACTTCTTCGCATGGCAAGAGTTCCTCGATTGTTGGTAAAGTTAGTATTTCGGGAGAACCACTAACAATTTCCTCTAATATTACTGGTTCCAACATTTCAACATCTTCAACAACAGGCACAATATTTTCAACTAGCGGAGGCGGTAAAGTTGATGCTTCAGTAATAACATAGTAATATTTGTAATTGGAGATGATGCACCTATAGCTTCCTCTAGTATTACTGGTTCTAATACTTCGACATTTTCAACCACTGGCACGATATCTTCAATTAAAAGAGGTGGTAAAGTTGATGCTTCAGGAATAGCATTACCAACTTCTACAATCGGAGATTCTTCTTCTAAAGCTGGTTGTACTAATTCAACTTCTTCTACAACTGGCATGATTTCTTCTTCAATTGATAAATTTGTTTTTTTTTGGAACAATAACTTCAATTTTGTGAATTGGAGACAATACACCAACTGATTCTTTCAAAACTATCGGTTTTTCTAATTTGATTTCTTCAATAACCGGCACAATTTCCTCAATTGCCAGAGGTGGTAATGTTGGCGCTTCTGGAATTATTACTGCTGGATTTGGTGATATTTTACCTGTAGACTCTTTTAATATTATTGGTTCTTCTAATTTAACTTCTTCAACAACGGGTACAATTTTTTGCATTAGAAGCGGTATTTCATCTTTGACTGCGACTGGAACTGAAACAGATGACAGAAGTTTTAGTATATGTTCTCACTTTTTGTCTTCTGCAACTAAGATTATCGAAAGTGATTTTAAAATTTTTATAAGTTTTTTTGTTTTAATTACTCGCTCTGATGTATGATTTTGCTGCACCAATGAAGTCAAAGCTTCAATGTGAGCTGGTGGTATATTTATTTGTGGCTTGAAGTAAAAATTGGCGCCTTGATGTACTATATATACCAGATCTAGCAGGAAGCGAATTTCCAGAACCAGATTGTGAATTGAAATTTTCGTTGACAGTTATTTGAATAGGCTCGTCATCTATCGATGCCAGAGCCACTCGCTCGATTAGAAGAGTGCACAAAACGAAAACAGCAGTGAATCAAATCTTGTGGCCAAAAGTAAGACTACGGTAAGTGACAATATTACTTGAGAAGCAAGCAAAATATAAAATCAATGACAATTCAGTGTAGCGACTGCCTTTTATACTATCCCGAACTCTTTAAGGAACTACTTAGGACACAATTAGCTAATGGGTAATTTACGTAATAACTACATTAGTGAACTTAATGACACCAAATTAATTAAATTGTATTATATTTATCTTACTGTACCTAATCATGTTGCAAAATATCAAGTGTTAATTAATCTAATTAGGTAATTTTCTAATATATAAATAACTCCTTGTCGTAAATTCCATCATCATAATTTCAGTTGATTCCTGGTAAAAAGCAACAAATCAAAATGAAAGAAATCATTATGAACAAGGTACCTAAGTCCAAATTATTTTAATTTATAAAAAATAATTATATTGAATTTGTGTGACCAGTCCCAATCTTTTATTTTATCATTCAGTAAAAAAAAATGTGAATTGAATTAATATTCTAAATTACTTTGTTTTTTTTTTTTAATTTGGGGCTCTCCTTGTCATTTGCGTCTTGGCATCAGTTTTGGCTGTTCCTTTGGAACGAAATGAGTTTGGTTGGTTTGCTTTGATGTATGTGACCGCCGAGGGTACCGTGATGTCGGAGCGCGGTCGGCTCATTCCCTCACTTGATGATGACGGCTACGATATGGTATATGAAGAAGTATCTTACATTGGCGACGATGGCAAGAGATACGTCACCAAGTACACCGCAGGACTAGACGGGTACCACGCAGAGGGTGACCATTTACCAGTCGCTCGAGGTTCCAGAAGTTCCAGAGCCAGCAACCACCAGTTACACATTATCTCAATCTGTTCCAGTGATTTACGGGTGCCTAACTCTAATAAATAATTTAAATAAATATAATTGCAAAGAAAACTTACATATCTTCTTTTTAGAAAATCCTAAAACTATAAAAATATGTAAACATACCTACAATATATTATTATATTTATGTGTCATCATCATAATCAACAGTCTATTAGTGCCCACTACTGAGCAAACTCACACGGCGAAGGTTTGTGCATTAATCACCACGCATGTTTAAAAGCGGATTGGCGATTTCAAAATTATAATTAGTAATAAATTATAAGCCTAGGTTTGCTCACGATGTTTTCATTCACCGTGTATGTATGTATGTATGCGTTATCAAAAATATAAATATCGGGAAAATCACAAATAGGTTATGAAGAAACCACCTAGAAAACGAGGAATCAATTTAAACCGCTTGAATGAGACACAAACGAAAATACATTGTGTCTCGCGTGGACCCACGTTTAGACGCACGACAGGTTAATGTGATATGACAATTTTGATTTTTGTTTTTTCCCTTATAACCTGGCAAAATAAGAGTTCCACCTCAAAATGTGAGATAGTCGACTAAAACATGTCTCAAATCTTTTTTAGAACTTGTCTATAACGGTGTAGGGCGTCAGTGACTATAAAAATTGATAAAGATAAAAACACAAACGTTTTACATAATATTTATTGCGGATACATATTCGTTTCCTATGGGTTTTCTGCTATGTGTATAATTATTAATAAATATTGCAGGTTTTTTTTTATGGCATAAGCCGGTAAACTAGCAGACGGATCACCTGATGGTAAGCAATCGGCGTCGCCCATGGACACCTGGAACACCAGAGGCGTTACAAGTGCGTCACCGGCTTTTTGGGGATTAGGAGTTTGAGGATCGTTGGGGATTCAGGGATTGGGGAGATTGGGGAAGGGGAAGGTAATTGGGCCTCCGGTTACCTCACTCACACGACGAAACACAACGCAAGCGTTGCTTCACGTCGGTTTTGTAGGGTTTGAATTCTTTACAACTTCCGTCAACTCTTTTTACCACTTAGCCCTTGAAATTTTATTTTATTATTTCATTTTTTATTTCGAGCAGACAGTAGGGGAGTCTATAGTGCGTAGCTACTTAGAATATTATTTGAGGTCAATCTTTAGTACAAATTGATATTTGTATGTTTTAAAATAATTAATGCTGCCTCGTTGGCCATTGGTCGCAGCGACTGCCGGGCAAGGGGTCTCGGGTTTGATTCCCGGGTCGGGCAAAGTATTACTGGGTTTGTAAAAAAATCACAGAGTCTGGAAATGTGCCCGGTGTATGGTAATAGGCTATTACATAGACTTATAACATAAATAGTGAAAAGTGGGCGGTAGGTACATACTTCTGTGTGCATCTCTGCCTATCCCCTCGGGGATAAAAAGCGTGATGTTATAATTAATTTATTTAAACAAATAATGAATATAATAGGTACATACCTATTATGATGAATGATTAGTACATATTTATGATGTCATAATCCTATGAAAGTGCCGTTTTTGTATGAAAAAATTGAAATGAATTATTTAAATGTTTTTTTTATTTGTATTAATCGAAGTAATCACTCATGCAATCATTGCATCTTTGCCAACGCGGTGGTAGATTATTGATGCCCTTTTTAAACCAATCAGCTGGATGGGAGGCTACAAATTCTTCAAAGGCATTTTGTACTACCTCTCGGGTATTGAAATATTTTTCCGCCAAAAAGTTATTCAAATTCTGGAAAAGTAGTCTGTAGGTGAAAGGTCTGGTGAGTATTGGTATTAACTCTCTTACTCAATAAAAACCACCCCGTTTTTAATTCTGTTTCAAGCCAGCGTCATGGCAACTATCATCCCTAATAGTAGGAGTCCTGAGTTTATGTTAGGTGAATTGTTGGCTATATCATTCATTAAACATAATAAGTGAATCTTTAGTACTTTTTTTTTTGGGACAAGCCCGCCACAACCTCCCAAAACCGCTGCAACTTCTGTAAGCCAGGATCTACAGTAGATACAACCATGAAAACACGACGACGAATCAGACGAGCGGTGGGTGAGAGTGAGCGGGGGATCCTGGACTATAACTTGAAAATGGCTATCAGCAACAGGGACATGGCGGTAGTGGGCGCTCTTTTGGGTGGGGAGGGCTCGCTGTAAGCTTGAATTGTGATGCAAGCGTGACATTAATATATATTTGTGTGTGTTTAATAATGTTAAAATGTAGTAAATATAATGTAACGTAATGTAAATTTTATCAATAAGACTGACAAAATCCATTGGCACTACTGGAATCGGCTTACTGCTGCGTGAGCAGACGTCATGCATTCTTAAATGTTCTACAGTCGGTGGCGCTGTGGACTGGGTCGCTCCGTTCCCTACGAAATGGTTGATCGGACCGATTGCTGGCCCTCACGTCATGCTCGTGAACGGGCGCCTTTTGCTGGAGCAGGTCGGCTCGCTCATCGCGCGTGTGGGCTGAGCTAGTAAGGTTAATGTAAATGTAATAAAACATGTATTGTGTATATATATATAGATATTAGACACAACCTTCTTTGTGAAAAAAAAATGTGGTTAATGTAGCACGTAAGATTTTTGTAACAATTAATTTTGACTGTAAATTAAAAGAAAATGTAATGGAATGACAAGGGCACGGACAAGAGTCCGTGGAGAATAAGAAATGTAAAAAAAAACCATGAAAACACCGGAACACTGAAGTCCGGCGCGTCCTGGGGACATGAGTAAGTGTCTTGGTACCCGCTACGAAGTGAATCTTTAGTACTGCGTACTTTAATACATATTGATCGTTTTTATTAGGAAAGGTCGTGTTGGTGTAAATGAGTTTGTGGAATTTTAACCATAATGTTTCCAGAATTTAATAGACTAACCACAATATTATTTCAATCTTAGTTAAAATGTTATTAATGGATTTTTAATTGCTATGATCATCAATTGTGTCGATATTCTTTATATAAAGGCAAGCGTTGTCTTTAAAGCAGTGATTTTAATTGATCAGATAGAAAAGGTGAGTAACTTACTAAATTATTAAAAGTATTAGGTTTTTATTTATTTTACATACTTGGTTAATACATTTTTAAATAATTAATTATAAAAAAACAGTTAGAAATTCAAAAAGCAGTAGCCCACCAGTAATGAGAGAAATTCAAGTAATTGTTAGTATATATTTTTTACATACTGGTATTGTATTAATGTTGTAATTTTAATTTCAGATGTATTTCTTTGGAATTTTGTGTTTACTGTTGGCAGTAGAAGCTTTGCCAACACCCGAGCAGCTACATATCAACGAACCAGCTCCTCCATCACCATTAGAACTCAAACCAGACGAGAAAGATAACAATGTAGAAGTCTTAGTTGACCCAGTACCACCTGTAGTGGAAGAACCTGGTTACTCAGATAAAGAAAGCAAGGAAAAGGTTGATGAGTTTAAGAAGGAATTGGAGGCTGTAGAAAAACCTAAAGAAGAAGAAAGGGAAGAAATAGTGGAACAGAAGGAAGGAGAAAAGGAAAAAGAGAAAGAGGTAAAAGACAAATTTGAAGGCGTTGTTGTAGTTGAAGAGTCTAATGATCCAAACGAAAAACCAAATGACGAGGAACCTAAGGAAGAAAAAAAGGATGAAGAATCAAAGGACGAAGATGTAGAGGAAGGTCCTATTATAGTGCAAATATTCAAACCTAAACAATTTTTGGGTGATATTTTTTCGCAATTCTTTCCTGGCTTCCAGTGGCCGCACTTTTCATTGCCAGATTTTCTCCGTCCAAGGAATGCTGATCCGTTAGAATTAGATGAACCTATCTACATTGTCAAGGAATCTGACTTTAGCTGGCCTTACAAAAAGTAATTGATGACACCTTTATTTGCCGGGAATTTTGTGGAACATTCAATCGACTGATGTGAGTATTTTTCTGCACCTATGTGGCATCTGTTTTATCAGGCTATGAAATCGTATTTACTTACTTAAATAAATATACTTATGAATTTCATTGACTTGTTCTTTTATTTTTGGTTACGATACGATTAATGTTTTAAGAACTACTTAAACTAACAACTTAATAATAATAAACTGTACTAAACTCTAAGAAACTTTCGTTGGTTCTAGTCGTAACGGTATCCAAGGAGGAAATGTGGAGGAAGTGGTTCTACTGTCGTGGTTTTTGTTAGTTCAGAATATAAAATGTATTTATTAATATCCTCTTCTACTTCTTCGAATACAGGAATATCACCTGGTATCTGTTGTTCATAGAGTTATGATATTTTATTATCAGGCAAGTCTTGTTTGTTGTAGTAATCAAATAGGAGCTTCAAAGATTCTTTATTATCTAAATTTTCGTATAGTACCTATGTCATTTGCCGAACTTTGTGTTATGACTGAAACACAGTATTATCAATTTTGATTTTGAAAATTAATTGTTTAATATGGTTGAAAATGTTGCGGTTGACCAATTATTTCGTAATAGTTTTTCTAAATACAACTACTCCGAACCTCATGGTGTTTCTTGTATGATGATGGCACCGTACTGGCCTTATTAATGATTTTTCAGTGATATATGTATAACTATGTTAATAACATTTAGCAATCGCAATGCAACACCTAATAAAATTTGTTAAACTGCTTTTAATATGCATGCCAAAAATCTTGAAATTCTCATTTGTATAGTCACATTCAGAGTTACTGCAATCCGAAATAAAACCATAGTCTGTTAACAAATTATTTATGTAGGTACGAACTTACATTATTAAAACAATAAAATTAGTATAAATATACATGCTGTGCAAATTTTACAGAACAATAAAATTAGAAGTAATACAATATTTAAATTAAGAAGGCGTTAAATTAAGAATTTTTATTAGACATACATTTTTGTTTTTAATTTATAAATATTACCCACAGCACTATACCGCTGTCATTGCAACAAGTTGTCATTAATTCTGATATAGCACCTGAACAATGACAAATTATTCGTAATGACATTAAGACATGCACCCAGCCTAGTATATTTATTAGGTACGTGTGTCTTTAGTAAGAGTTACATTTTTGATTATTAATGAAAAAAGAAATAAACCCCAAAATAAATGTATGACACAGACAGAATGTAACGCATTACAGGGCTAGCACGCAGTTAGGCTCGTTATTCTCGATTCTGGCTACTGATACCTTTTAGTTATATATGCTCTAAAAGGTTATACAGAATCATTTAGTCGTTCAGATGCGCCTACGCTTGTCCATTTGCAAGAAAATCCATTTAGATGACAATCAAGATGAGTTCAAAGACCTTACGACTATTATAGACATAATGACCAGTGTCTGTCCTTCTTTGATACTTTGATGACAGTTTTAAATAAATTAACGGTATTTTTCGTATTATTTTAATTTTTAGTAATATTAAGTATGTCGATGCAAATAACAGAACGTATCGTCACACTAACATGAATTTCATTAAATATGTTAACTGTACTTTAATTAAAAGTGAGTTATTTACAAATATTACAACTGCAGATTTTTACACAGAATAATATGATATTTTAAACTGTTATCTTGTACCTATAATATGTAGTTTAATGGCACTGAAATATAAGAAAGTAATGATTTTTGACTGTGAAACACACAGTCACACATAAAACCATTGAAGCTATTTGACTCCAAGTATGTTTACATGATCCAAAATACTTATGTGAACAACAATTTACACTTACTTATATTTATCAAATTAATGGCTAAGACTTGTTCGCTTCGTTCGATTAGATCGTTTTGTCTCCTTTATTACATAAATAGTTCATGGGAACTAACAATACTGATGAATAAATAATTAGGTAACTTCAAATTCTCACATGTATGTACACACATTTGCTACATCAATTCACGGGCCTAGGGTCATACGGGGTCGCATCATGACCCACATACCTATTGTTTTTGCGTATTTGGAAGCCTTCGCCAGGTGCTGTATTATAGTAAATCACTCGACGAATACCGAACGGATCGACATAGCCGAAACTTCCAGTTCTCTCGTTTGCCTGGCCGCTCTCTTCTCGTGATATTGTTTGGGAAGATAGTAACGGAAACCATTTCTTCGGAAGGCTGATCCATCATATGTGGAGAATTGAGGAGTATAACCGTCACCAATTTTTGCTCCAGATTGTTGCTGTCGTTGAAGTTGCTGCTGTCGCTGTAGCCAGGCGTCAGCGTGTCTGTAGGAATTAGGATTGAACACGTCGTAACGTTGACTGTCACTCGGTTGGTATTCGTCGTCCAATGTATTGGTGTTAGATGAATCGTAATCGTAGGGACTGCTTGTAGTAGCAGCTTCACTAGCAGTGATTGGTGTCACTGTGGGTCTAAAATCATAAGTTGTTGTTGACGAGTCAATTGAATTAGGTGAAACGTAAACTTGTGGCGTTGACGTTGGGTGTGGGTACGTCCGTGGGGGAGGCGTCACTGATACTTCTGCCGGGAAGGTGGGAGGTCCGTATGATGACGAGGGCGGTGGGGCTTGAGTCGTGGACTTGAAGCGCGGTGGGCCGCGATTTCGCGGAACTGGTGCTGGTGCAGGTGTTACTCCAAAACCAGAATCAGTTGGAGCAGTCTTGGCTATTTGTAAAGACTCCTGAAATAAAACATAATTTATATAAATAACAATAGAATGTAAAATTTTATTACTTACTTAATAAAATTAATATAGTAAAATTATGTTGATTTATCTCTTAATACATACTGAAATTGGTCGGTTTTCTCCTACGTAGACTGTTTTTGATTTGTAGATTCTGTATCCCTGATTATCAGCGATATAATCCTGGAGCCGCAAATATCCGTCAGCACCCACCCAACCAGTTGTACCTGAAATGTAGAATGACGTCATTATTGTTTGAGCATTCAGTTGAAACTGCACATGATGCCCAAAATGAGAACAATGCTGCTCATTGTTCAAGTACAGATAAATTATTTTTTTTAATAACTTATTTTTGCAAAAGGTATGTTATATGATAGGTCTCGGCGTTTTTCCTAAGTTGACGATTAACCTCGTCACAAATAATTAAGATCTCCTAAATGTATTCAAGAAAGAGGAGGAGTGCCTATACCTTGAAATTTAACGTCGGAAATAAAACAACAACAAAATGTAAAAAATTACGTTCATAGTTCCAATATGGACTGTCACAAATTCTGTTTTAATAAACGGAGATTTAAATTTTTTTTTTGATATCCTTAGTTCCTTAGATGGCGATTGCTATGTTACATATTCAGATGTCCCACCTACATAGATCAGTGTTGGGACAATGAACTGTAAAGCATGTGTAGGTCGACAGCATTTTATCTTGACAATGGAACTTTGCTATACAAGTTTGCTCTACTTTACATTTATAGTGAACTTGAAGTCTATATCAATAGACTTTATGTATGATTGGTTTTTTAAGACACCCGCTTCTCATGCCTGAGAGTGTGGGTCCGAAACCTACCAACGGCAAGTACCAATGTGATTTTTTCTGAGTTATATGTACTTTCTAAGTTTATTTAGACACCACTGATAAACCATCAAGGAAGGTGAAGGAAAACATCGTAAGGAAACCTGGGCTTATAATTTCTAATTATAAGATTGAAATCGCCAACCCGCATTGAGCAAGCGTGGTGATTAATGCTCAAATCTTCTCCGTGTGAGAAGAGCCTTTATTCAGCAGTGGGCATTAAAGGCTGTTAATGTGTATGTGTGGTCTGCATGGCTTGCTTACCAACACAACTGCGCTTTTATTGCCTCACCTTTTTTACACAACTAAGAAAAACTTAATATTTTGGAAATCGTAGTATTCACTCTTGGCTACCTAAGAGGCTTACTCTTGAATCCAATTCCGATTGATCGACATAGACCTTGCAAAATTTCATATCTATCCTTGAATTGAACACTAGTGCCTATTGCATCCGTATTGCGGGGATATTGAATAAACTAAATAATATTGAGTTTGGCTTTATATTCTGTACTCTGAATGTTATTTTAACAGCTACGATTGGGCTTGTATAGTTTTGATATTGAATAATTATGGATATTTTATTGGATTGAAATTGAATTGACACTGAGATTGGTTTCAAGAGTAAGCGCCCTGGTTCCGTCTGCGTCTGCAGTACAGTGTAAATGGGAATAACTTATCTTTTACATTCTTACCATGAAGTAACTTAGGGAAAAACATTAAGAATTGTGTATAATATCGTATAGATATTACCTCTAAAGGTAGAATTCTTAAAAAAGAAAATTCGTATTTGAGATCAAACGAGCGTAAACTAATAACGTATCATTTTGGATACACTTATCCGAACATTTAGAATTTGATTTTATTTTATTTACCAAAATAATAGTTGGGATAGAGAGCATATTATCAAGCACTGCACTGATCACGATTTCTTACTGGATATTATTGTTGAGAATTGAGTTTGAAATGTCAGAAACCCAGTAATATTTTACCTGAACCAGAAATAAGAAGTTTACAGCCATGTAATTGTTCTTTCTCCGAGAAAGTACCTCCCACATAGGCTTAATAAAATCATGCCAGATCACAAAACACGTCTCATTGCAGTTATGCCAAAACTAAATTAGGTATGAAGTGGGTTTTATGGAGATAAATCTGCTATTTATTATTATAATGTATCTGAAGAAGGCAAAGCTTAGGCTTTCTATAAAGATGATCTCATTGGCTGATTGAAAGTCGTCTAGCAAGACATCGTGACTTTTTTATTTCCATTCTTCGATTGCTTGTTTTCGGAGCATGCTAAATTATTACTTCGAAATGAAAAAAAAAACACTTAATATCAATTTTATTACGCTGCCAGGCCACTAGGCCAATGCAGAAGAATAATCTCATCTTTTCTATATTATCTTTTGGTATAAGGTTAAAAAAAATTGTTGCTGTCCTAGATAATAACTACATTACACTAAATTACCTAAAATCGCGGGTTACTTACGAGAATATACTGAGAGAAGCTCCGCCATAGTGAATAACCCGCGATTTTAGTTAATTTGGTATGTCTCACGATAGTTATTATAAATACATTACACTACTATAGTACACAAATATATTACAATTAACTCCTTGATATTGTAATTTGATCCTTACCGACAACAGATCCGTCTTTCAGTCTTCTTTCTTTCCTATACTGTCCATTGTGAGTCTGGTATAAGAAGTAGCGCTCGTCATCTTCATCTGTCTGTATGTGGAACTGATCTGGGTCCTGTTGGGGACTGTACCCGTCCAACGCAGCTAATACACTGCACGCACACACCTGTGAAACAAATAAATAGAATTTTATAATAAACACAAGCTTAATAAACACAAGAACTGGTCAGAGATTTAGCAAATAATGTTCGTCAGCTATTAGTATTATGTAACAGGGGTTGCAAAAATGAGTTCGTATTTATATTATACAGAAACTGTTTTTAGTAAGAAAAATATTCTACAATAACTGTTTAACACGAAACAGAGAAGTATACACATTGTGTATTTGTATTTTTTTTTATAATTCGGGATCCGGCAGAAGTATATCTTTACAGTTTACATCATATAATACCTCCTTTATCCTATCCTGATTTTGATATATTAAAACTACTTTTTGAAGGTCACATATTTATATGTTATTTATGTCCTATTTAGCACACAGTATCTATTTATGTATCTTTAAATAGAATATGTGTTGCAAGGAACAATTAATCTTCTACATCCTACACATTCAAAACTAGTTGCATTCAACACCCCACCTATGTACTATTTCATATAATTATAATATAATCAATTTGGCATTAGGATTAGGTGATTGCTTAGGCGGTTACCTTCTTGATGCTTGTTTTAAACGAAACTGTTGAACACAAGATTTATTGAGATTAAAAATGTCGGCTTATTAAAAAGTAAAGGTACCGTACGTTGCGTTTGTTAAGCCCTATGCGTGAAAACAGGCAAGATGTGTTAAACGACGAGTGATGTTATTACTTATAGGTAAGATGATGGTATGACAGGAATTGTGTTACGGGTGAAAATTTGACTAAAATATGCTTATAAAACAGACTTAACACTAATTTTTCACTACACTGGAGAGCATAGAACAGCCATTGGCGAAAAGTTGGGTTTCTAGATAGATGTAACGAAAATTACTGATTTCCCAAATCCCAAATGTCTTACCTGGCTTCTCATAGACATGACCAATACTCATGTAATTTTATCTACTTTGTGAAACAATAATCTTAGGTTACGCTTTTTCATTATATAATTAACTATTATTGTTTTTATCAGGTAACGTAGTTGTATTCTGTGTGTATTATTGTAACAATATATTGTAAGGCTTGCTTATTGTGGGTTAAGACAAGGTCTGCAGCTGATTACTGATTAGTGTACAGATTCTGACGCGGGTTAGGCGAGCGTGGGATTAGGGATTGTTGGTAATAGCTGTTTATTAAGTAGTGTCAAGGACCATCTGAATAAACTGATATTATTGTTATTATCTTTTGTACGTAATTGAGCATTGTCACACGTTGTGCTTTAATATGGGTGTCAGAGTCACTAACGAGGACCTTGTTAAAATAAAAACAACGAGATGTTGTGTATAAGACGCAATTTATCATATTCGTATGAGTGACGAACCAGTTTTTCAATGGATAAATAAATAAGTTTCGTAAACCAAAATAAGATTTCCATTTGAAAATATACAAAATGGAAATCGAAAACACACTACTAGGCTAATGTTATGCGGGAAAATCCTTAAGCGCTGAGCAGTTACCACGCTCGGTAATTAGCTGTAACCGATATGACGTAACAACGCTTGTATTCTCCACGCGATGTTTTTCCTAACCAGGTACATCAGTGTGTTCCTCCTCTCATGATGTGCATTACCCGTAAAATCGGGCAACTGAGAGACAATGGGTCTGCCACGAATTAGAGACGGAATCAGTAATTTGTTCAACAATAGATGTTAACTCAGCCCCGAAGGTCGCTATGAAGCAACAAAATATACAGAACTCCTATTAATATGGACAAAATACTATGAAAGTAAAATAAGTTTCGGAAACTGTTTTACATGATGTTGAAATGCTAAAAACTGTCGTGAGTCTGAATACTGGTGTGTAAAGTGTGATTTCAAACGAAATATTTGCATCAACTTACAAAGGACAAGGACTAAAAATACATCATGTGAGAAACAGAGGGATGCTCGTAAAATGATACATTCCTACATCGTATCATATGCTGGTGTTAGGAATGATATCTTCCGTACAAGGAAATGTCGACTGATGTCGTAGTTAGAAGGACTACCAAGTAACCATGTCAGCCTTACTCACGGCTAGTGTCATGGAATATCAATTTGTTGTCAGTTGCCTACTTGTGGTGCCTACCACAACAACCTCGGCTCATACGTGGGCGGGAAACTAAGGACCTACACGGAAACGTTTACGTGCATGACTAAATAATGGAATGTATGTACTAAACAAAAAAAAACTAATCCACGAATGTTCTTATTTGTTTCGCTATAATTGACTAGGAACAATTTCCGCCTAAATTCGTAACTTTAATCGTGCAATTTTATTTCGATGACTTTACAGAATAGGATAAAGCAGTAAATGTAATTTATTAGCGTACAAAACTTTACATAAGATAGTTTAATTTACATATGAATCATTTATTTCATTATTGCATATTTTTCTGTAACGCTTCATACAATATTCATTTCATGAGGAAGGAAAGGCCAAATTGGCAATATCTTGATATAATATATACCAATGTATTGCCAATTTTATTTATCTTAAGTTAGTAACATTGACATTATGTTATCAACATATTTGCAAACTTCATAAATCTCACATTTGTTTAGTAACACAACACAAGTGTTTGGTTCCTCTAATCATTTTAAGCTGCTACACTACATTTTATCGGAATCACTGGCGATATTTAAGTACAAAAAATATACTTACTAGTTAACCCGTCCTAGTTTATTTATAATGTTAGTTTTATACCTAATACTTACCTAATTAGCAAGATATGCTTATTTTGTCACGACACGCTTTGTGATTTCAATGTACCTAAATTTTCTTTTCTTTTTATTCAAATGATGTTTAGTCACAGTCGACCTAACGCAGTTAGTCTTAATAATTGGTTTTTCCCATGGATAATTTATGTGTGAAAAACAATAATTTATTTCAGTGGAACTTCAGTTTTTATTATATTTTCAGTTTTACAGAAATACGTCGTAAGATATTACGAATACAAAAACATTAAAATTACTTCATCTAGTATGTTTTTTGTCAAAGAATGAACTAATGTTTAAGGAAATAGAAATACACAAAAACAGTTTTAATTAGAAAATAATTAATTTTGACGTATACCCGGATACATTAAAATAATTAAATTATACAAAGGTACGGACAACAGATGCATCGCGTTGACATCATCTCTAGTTAATTATGTAGGAGTGTTATTGTTATATGTAAATGTAGGTACTGACACATTATAATTAAACAATGCAACAAAAAGAGGAATGCGGCGGAACAAAATACAACAAAGAGGTTTAATAAATCCAAAGTTTTCATCCCGTTGACTTTTGGCGTAAAAGTTATAATGCAAATAAGTTTAATGTATGTTCTTAGGATTACAGTAGCATAGCATAGAAGTATATCGTTTGTTTATATAAATTTTGTATAGTTTAAAATAGGATCGAGGTCAGCAACGGTACTTGCATTGCATTGTACGAGTAGATGCCAATTTTTGGTCAGGAAAATATACTTGCACGTTAAGATTAATTTTTTTTAATACCACGTGAACGCGTCTATTTAATTGTAATTTGAACTAATGTCAACGTTTGATGTCGAAATTAATAGTTAATTTGTAGATTTTTTTGATTGACTCATCACTAATTATATTATTGACTTATCACTGATTATCCAACCCGCATAGAGCAAGCGTGGTGATTAATGCTCAAACCTTCTCCGTGTGAGAAGATGCTTTGCTCAGCAGTGGGCATTTATAGGCTGTTGATGATGAATTATATTATTCGCGAACCACGTTCGTCAATTGAGCAAATTATGAAACACAAATTACTCATACATTAGAGAAGACGGCAAGATGTTCGTCACTTAGTACTCTGCTGGTCTCAACGGTACACCCGTCGAAGATAACGACCTCCCAGTCTCAGTAACGCCTGAACCAGTCCCTGAACCTTTTATTGTTGAACGGCCGATTGTTGAGGGTCTGGTTCTGGCGGCGAGCTACACTTGCTCGATCGTGATCGGAGATCGTGCCGCGGTGTCCAACGCCCGGAGTGGCTCCTGGAACGGCTAAGGCGTGAGGAGGTTCGATCCCTCACGCGTGTTGCGGAACCTTATAAGTATTAAGTTAGATGAATAGAATAAAATTATATTTGAAGGCTTTTCGATTATTAATTTTCCCCAATGCTTGGTAATGCATTAATTTGTGTAGGCTGAGGCACACTGAGTCACCATTTCGTTGAACTGGTCTGCTAAAACTACTGGAAATATTAAACTACCGACTCGACACCGTGTTGGCGTCACTGGCGCCGGGAACAAACGCCCACTTGTCGTGTTTGGAGTCAATGATCATATTTTATTAGGTTACAATGCAGTCAAAGTGAGGACCAATGTTCACCTTTAATTTAATAGAAAATTATATCCAATTTTCTCGCATAAGGAATTGTCAAGCTTTAGAAGACCCTGATATGGATTCGTCTCAGTGCAAAAAACATACAGATGGATTACAATAATTACAGACTTCCGCAATGGATCATTTTTTGCTCTCTGTTTTTGCGCACGATTCACGCTTATCAATTTACAATTAAAATATCAATCAAGAGAATAATTTGTGACAGATCTACGAGATATGAGATCAGCCTGCTTTAATACTGAGCAGTGAGTGTGTGGGCGACTAGTTATTTATCCACGTGTAATTGGTAAGCTGAAGGCGGTGGCACTACGCACTTGTGCATGTTGGGGGTCTAGCGTGTCTGGTCGGATGGTGGTGACCGTACAAGATGTGGGTGTCACCAAAGGCGTTGTGTGGGCTCTGAGGGCGCGTAAATCCGCATTCAACGAAATACTGATAACCTTGTTAATCACAGGTAATTTACATTCCTTATAAGACCTTCATTGGTCGCCTACAAAATTAAACTTATTTCATTCCTTATAAGAGCATAAGGTAACGTATCAGTCAGTAGGTGTGTCTCATAGTCATTAGAGCATTAGTTAAATTATATTTCTTTAGCGCAGTTAGAATTATTTGACTAGTTTTTTC